ATTTTTATCTTGTTGGATGAAAGGGCATCATTAAGCTTGGATCCTTAGGCCCTTCTTGCTGTTAAAAGCACAGTTCTTTCTTAAATCCATCCTAACAGCTGCTTTTGCAACAGTTTCAACAGCCACCAGCTCCCCAAGAGAGCTCTTTCCTGACCACTTACAGTTCAGAGAGTCTGAATCACCATTCTAACACTTGATTATTGGTCTCTTCTTATGTTTAGCTGTTTCATATGTTAGTTATGTTTTCTCCAACACAATTAGCTCCTATTTTTCTTGTTCTTCAGTTGTTAGGCCAATAAATACTTGTTGGCTTATTGATTGTACTGATAAAAGAATAAACAAAACATTAAAAATGTAGGAAGAAAGCTATTAGGGACTTCGAGACAGTGTTAAAGTCTGTGAGGCAGAGCCCTAACACGGAATTTAGTCTTTTACCAACTCCACACATGATTCTATTCTGAAATTTTTTTCAAGTGAATTGAATTCTGTGCCCTTATTATCACTCCTCCAGTGAGCTAGCATGCTGGAGGTGGGGCATGATATGACGCATTAGCCTAGCCTGGCACTGCTGGATACTGCTAGTCAGTACCAGCATGTGGCTCATGGGAACATATGGGAGTCCAGTATTGTAGCCCACCTGTGGAGGCCTAATATCAGTCAATGAGTCAGGAGATGACATTTTAAAGTGATAATGCTCTTTCAGGTAACAGAAATGATTTCTTAGTAGGCACATGGTTTATTTATAAAATAAGAATGGGAACTTCTAACCCCTGGAAGGAGGAAGGCCTCCTGGTACTTGGAAGACAAAGGAGAGTTCTGTTTCCACGAGTGTATGGATATCATTCTTCCAAGAAATGATATAGATGGAAAGTAGTAGGGAATTTGAAAAACAATTAGCTTATGTTTGTTAGCTGACAGATCTAAGCCTTTCTCTAAGAAAAATTAGTGAAGTTTCAGATTACCTTGACTGTGGGTAGTTACTACTGATTTTTTTGTGGAGCTTATTCCTGCCATAGATAAACTTCCAGCTTACTGCAGTTATGGAACTACAAGATAAGTTTAAAATGTTTGTGAAGTGGCAAATACAAACTATATTTCTAGTGGACAACATATTTTGATGGACATATGTATTTTAGAATGGTTAAAATGTCACTTCTTCACTGTAGTCACTATTATGTCAGGTAGATCTCTTGAATCTATTCTTCCTTATTGAAATTATGTGGCCTTTGACCAATGTATCCCCAGCTTCTCCACATTGAAGAAAAATTTATTTGACATATGTTTCTCTTTGTTGCCTAGGGTGGTCTTGAGCTCATGAACACAAGTAATCTTCCTGGCTCAGCCTCTTGAGTAGCTGGTAATATAGGCATACACCACCATTCTTTGCTTAGGAGGCTGTTTTTTGTTAAATTAATTAATTTATTTATATATTCACTTTACATCCTGGTTGTAGCCTCCTTTCTTCTCTCCTCCCATCTCTACCCTTCCTTTCCATCCCTTCTCCAGCCCCTCTCCCCTATTCCTCAGAAAATGGAATCCCTACCTCCCCAGATCATCTAGTCACATGAGGACTGAGTTCATCCTCTTCCCTTGTTGCCTGGTAAGGCAGTCCCAATAGGGAGGGATGATCAAAGAACAGGCAGCAGAGTCCATGCCAGAGACAGCACATCACCTTCTCTTATTAGGAAACCCACATGAAGACCGAGCTGCCCATCAGCTACAGCTCGGTAGAAGACCTAGGTCCAGTCCATGCATGGTCCTTGGTTGATGCTTCAAATTCCACAGGCCCCTATGGGCCCTGGTTAGTTGGCTCTGTTGGTCTTCTTGTGGAGCTCTTGTTATTTCTAGAACTACAACCACACCACCCTGAACACACCCTGTCTTGTCTAATCTTGGAAGGAGGCTGTTTTTATTTAAATGTGTTTATTTAGAAGAGAGACACTATCATAGGTTGGAGTTCACAATATACTTAGTTGCTAGTTTTTGATGTTTCCTTTTATTTGGAGTAAAAAGGCCTGCTGGTCCTCCATCTGCCTTTCTAACCACGCCCACTCACTAGGGACAACTGCCTGCCAGTAGCCTCATCTCTGGAAGAGAATAATACAATGAGCCTGTTGTGTGCTTGTTGACATACAGAATGGATTGTTTTAGCAGGTGCAGAAGATAGTCTGTATGGAGACTGCAGAGACTTTTATCCTTGATGGTGTAGCATCATTCAAATCGAAGTCATCTTTTGTCTAGTCTACAGCTGATGTTGGAGTTGGACTTAGTTCAGCTTTGGTCCTTCATTTCAGAGGCCAGCAGTGTTCTGAATTTGTTTACTATCTCCATATCTTTCCTCTTAAATAAAAAGAAATGAGGTGAGTGAGATGGTCCAGTGATTAAAAGCTCTTGCTGTTCTTTAAGAGGACCTGGGTTTGTTTCCCAGGACCCATATAGTGGCTCACAAACACCTATAACTCCAGCTCCAGGAGATCCAACACTCTCTGCTGACCTCTGAGGGTACCACACATGCACATGGTGCACATACCCACGTGTACACAAGACACTCATATACATAAAATAAAAATAAATAATCTTATAAAAGAACCTCCTTTTTGGTGTATAACCAGATATCTCTGCTGTTTTAAAGCTATAAGACTTCTTTTTCTTTAATTGCTGTTACACCACACACATACTACTTGTTCAGTCTCTTCAGTGCTACATAACCAATTAGAGGGCTCTTCCCTGGGGTGGGGACTATTTCTCCTGCTCTTAGCATTCCTTAGTTGCCTGTAGTTGTTTGTTTATGGGTGGGGCCCCATGAGATTTCCCTCTTCCGTGTTGATTAGAGAGTATACTAAAGGCAGCCTGTCCTGGAGACATTGCTTCTTTGTTTTGAAGATCGATCTTACAGATGATCAATGACTAGGAAGGTAGCTGTTTTCTGTAAGTGTAGGTGATTGCACTTGACTTGTTCATGAAACATGACTTTGTGATTCTCCTGTCTCCTTTGGGTCTCTGGCAAGCAGTGGTGACATTTGTTTCTGAACGTACCCTTTGATTATGTGTGTCCCTGTGACAAGAGGAGTGGAAAGGAAAGGAGTCTACACACTAGTGATATGCATGATCCTTAGTCACCCTGAGGGCTTTTGCCAGATCCTTCCATTCTTGACATGATTCCTCCATGCCTCTTGTCTTTTTTTTAGGAGAGGAAAAGGAATTGTTAAAAAGAAAACTCAAGACCACAGATTATATTTTAAAATGAACAGGCCCCTGAAATCATTTTGAAGGTTCAATACATATGCTCACTTCCATGACAAATTCTGCATGACCTAATATAACAGTGAGTTCACACACACACACACACACACACACACACACACACACACACACAAATACACACACACCTAACATCCTGTGCACTTACATTGTGGAGGGGAGACAGGGGAACTTCTCACGGGGCTTGTGCTACATCTGGAGCAAACATACAGCCTGCTGTTAAACATTTGTCCTAAATTGACTGCAGCTTACTTACTTGCCATGCTGATGAAGTAAGCTTTTTCCCTAGCTCACTTCTTTGCTTTACCTCCGCTCCTTGCTCATCTACTTATAGTCTGCCTCCAGTGATGATATCTGTTTTCAAGGAGAAATGTGCCTCTGGAGGAGATGGATAAAAATAGGTCAGTGATAATGCTCATCATTCGGTTTGATAGTCAGTTCAGAGCAACAGGTATTTATTGATAGCTTCTTTGTTCTCTTACTTGAATGGAGATCTAGCAAATATAAAATCAGATACTAATGTTAATAGAGGTCATTTATTTAGTGTCTATGATGCATCAAGTATTCTTCTAAGCACTTTTTATACTTGTCCACACAGTGACCCCATGAAACACTATTACTATCCCCATTTTACAGATGGGGAGACTGATATCAGCTATCACCCAACTGGGAGTTGGTAGAACCAGAATTTGAACCCAGGGTCCTATGAGACCAGTCTGTTGTTTTTAGGAAGTAAAGTTGAGGAAGGTGAAATCAACATACTGATAAAGAGCTAGGAATAATTCAGGGCCTTCACAGTGGCACTATTGGCAGGAGGAAAGGCAGAATGCTGCTTCCCATAGGCCTTTTGTAGGAGGTAAGACTTCTTTAAGACCCAAATTCTTCACCTATCAATAAATATAAGAGATACTATCTTGTAGCTCTGGTGTGAGAATTTCGTGAAAAAACGTGTTTAAAGTAGTTAGCACAGTACCTGGTATATGGTGAATTGTGATTGCCATGATGACAGTGATGTTTCTAGAACCTGAAAGATAAGTCCATTTGGGATATGGAGAGGAAAAGATGCATTATGAAGAAAGACAGAAATAGACATGGTGTTGGGAAGTGGTGTTAAGAAGGTTTTTTTTTTTTTTCATCCCGTTGCTGATGGGCATTTATTACCCACTAGCAGAACTATTTAAGGAGACAAAAGATGTTACAGAGTCAATCAGCAGCCTGGAAACTTTTCACTGGTCTTAAAGCATGCTGAGATACCCTCTGGGTGCCACTGTGAGCCTGCTTCCTGATTGCTGCTATTTTGTCTCCTCCTCATCAAGCTCAGTCCTAAAGCCAGATGAGTGGATATGAAAAGCTCTGTACATTTCCAGAACAAAAGTGCTCTAGGGTGCTTACATGTCCAGGCTCTTTTACCTCTTGGTCCCAAGCCAGTACCAGCCTTTCCTGAGGCAGACAAAGTGCTCCTAGAGGCCTGAGAGGAGGCATGAGTTATAAGAGGCATGAATTGCCTTAGGTGTAAGGCAGTTCCCTTGAGATTGTTTTTGTATGCCATAGGTGACCTCAATCAATTAAATACATACCGTGTGTTCAGAATCACATCTTAAGTGTTTGGAATATTTAGAGAAAGTAAAATAACATAGTATTTGTGGTGGAGATCTTTTGTTCTTGTTGTAGAGACAAGATCAACCCAGTTGCTATATATGTATACATATATTAAATGTTGAACTGCCTCCTTCCTTCAGGTGTCGCTACCTGGCTGTTCAGCTGTCTCCTGCCATTCCTGTGTTTGCTGCCATGCTCTTTCTTTTCTCTATGGCCACACTGTTGAGGACCAGTTTCAGTGACCCTGGAGTGATTCCCCGAGCACTACCAGATGAAGCAGCTTTCATAGAAATGGAAATAGGTGAGTCTTGGTCTTTGTTGCAAGTTGTAATACATTGTGGAGGAGAGTGGAGTCACTGTAGCAGTTGCCGATTCAGACTGCTATTCTAGCCTTTTCTCTCTGAGATCCCAAGTAACCACCTATGAATTCAGTAACACAGGTCCAGCAAGCCTGTAAAGCCACATGCTTTCTTTTCCCACATGTTGGTTTGCATTAAAGAAAGAGTTTGTTACCGAGGTCTGGCTGAATTGCTGTCAAGAGTGTGCCTTTTCCATTTTGGGGGAGGCCATCACACATCTGTTTGTTGAGGGAAGCTGTTAAACTGTCTCTCCATAAAATGTTCTTTTTTTGTGTATACATACAACTTTGGATATAATTTCAGAATTTCATAGATCTTCTAAAGTTCATTCATGGGTCCCTGACCAAGAATTCCCACTTTAGGGGGTCACACAATGTGAAGAAGGGTAATCATGCTACCAGCTGCCACTCAGAGGAGTAAAGCAACTAATTTCAGGCTCAGAGCTAGACAGTCTGTAACACTGAGACTGAAATGTAACCCCACCAGGAGCCACAATGGCTTAATGAATTTAAACAGAATATCCAGGGCTAGAAAGGGAATATCCTGGGAGTTCCCATGTGAAAAAGGCAATAATGCCAGTACTACTAGCATCATTGGGGATGCTCTAGCTCAGCAGTAGTGGCTATGTTAAGTATTTTTTGACTTTGTTTGACAGTAGCTTGAGTCCACATAAAAACAAAAGTAGAAAAAAAAAAAAGGTTAACCAGGATTTGTTTTGTCACATCTTCGCCCCTGAGTTCTGGGGATTGAGCCCAGTCCCCTGGGCATACCAGACACGTGCTCTAGTACTGAGCTGTATGACAAGCTCTGTGACCCAGAACTTGTGATGCTGAATATCTGTGTTAGTAGAGTGCCAGTCTGTGGCTAGCCTTTAGTTCTTTGATGTTGCTCTGAAGGCTGCCATGCTTTTGTGTTTCTTTATTTGAACTGTTTCCCCCTGATTTCATAGTATATATATATATTTTAAACTCAGATAGTTTTAGGTTAGATAAGGAGAAATTGATCTGCACATGTCTGAGCTAGAACTACATGGGGTGAGGTGAGGATGAAAATAGTAAGCGTAAAGTAGAGGTATGGTATGGTGCCATAGGCAGAGTCCACAGGTGAATGAGACAGTAGTCTAGGAAACAGTAATCCAGCTAGAGAAAAAAAAATAGTACCAGAAATTCCCCCTCTGTTTTACCCTTAGTACCTCCTGCTTTACCCCCACGTCTTCCCTGGATTCTGCCATGAATCCAGGTCTGTGCTCCAGACGGCATATGTAAAGAAATATTAAAGTGGCATGTTGGTACTTACATCATCATTTTATGAATAGCTAGCCTCATCTTCTAAGGGCTTGCAGATCACTGATATTGTTTGATTTCACAGCATCTACCCCACTCTGCAAGAAAGGAAAAATATTCTATATGACAGATATTTTTAAAATTAAAGTGAATTGAAAACTATTCTGTTTTTGGAATTATAGTTTGTGGCAAAGGTTCAATGAGCCTGACACTCTTATATGCTGGAGATGGATAGGCATTCGAAATCAGTCTGTCTGGAAAGCAGTTTGGCAATAAGCAAAATGGCTTTAAGGATTCATAACCTTTGTCCTAGCAATTAAGGGCTCCTTAAGAGTTCAGTTAAGGGAAATATCAGACATTTAAAATAACCTGCCATAAAAATGTTTTCGTGTGTTTTTGTTTATTTTTCTCTTTATATATTAAAATACAGCTTTTAAAATATAAGTTACCTCCTTGTTAAAAGAATTTATTTTAAAATTATTCTTATCTATCTATCTATCTATCTATCTATCTATCTATCTATCTATCTATCTATCTAGGAGTAGAAACTGCATGTATCATGGTCTGTATGTGTATGTGTAGGTTAGAAGACAACATTCAGGAGTCAGTTCTGTCTTTTCATTAGTGACCAAAGTCAGATCATTAGGCTTGGTGGCAAATGCCTTAGCCTGGTGAATTGTCTTATTATCTCCTACTCTTTTTTGGTTTTGAAACTTTTTTCTTTTCTTTTTTCTTTTTTTTTTTTTTTTTTGGTTTTTTCGAGACAAGGTTTCTCTGTGTACCCTTGGCTCTCCTGGATTCGCTTTATAGACCAAGCTGACTTCCAACTCACAGAGATCTGCCTGCCTCTGCCTCCCAGAGCGCTGGGACTAAAGGTGTGTGCCACCACACTGGCTGAAACAATTTTTTAAAGATGTATTTCTTTTTATTGTATGTATATCGGTGTTTTGCCTGCATGCATGTAAATGTGCTGTGTGCATTCAGTGCCCATGGAAGCAGAAGAGGATATTGGGTCCCTAAAACTGGAGTTTCAAACAGTTGTGAGCTGCCATATTGGTGCTGGGTACTCTGTAAGAGCAGCAAATGTTCTTAACTAAAAAGCCATCTCTCTAGGCCCTTGAAATATTATTTTAATTGACATATTAATTCTCTACAGCACTAGGTTTCACAGGGATACTTTCATATTAGTATATCATGTAATTTGAGCATGTCTTTTCCCTTTATACTTTGTTTTTTTGTTTGTTGTTAAGACAAGGTCTCATGTAGCCAAGGCTGTGTACCTGAGTCTTTCCTCAAATTCCTGATCCTACTGCTCATAGCTCCTAAATGCTTTGAGAGCAGACATGTGCTGCATACTGGCACTTTTCACTATTGAGAAGGACACTATTAAAATACTCTTGCATAACCAGGCTTTGTAGTTCTCTTTGAATTTTGCTAGCAGAATTACTAGGTTGCAGAGCATATACATTAAAAAAATATGGTAGCTTCTAATGTGTTGTTCCCTGATAAGATAAATTTTACCTTTTGTGTATTCTGTATATTTATCTGATTTTTAATATTTCTTAATTATAGTAGGAAGAAATAGTGCTTTTGGGTTTTATTTTTTTTTTATATAGGTTCTCATGTGTAGCCTTGGTTGGCCTGGAACTTGTTATATATACCAGATTGTCCTGGGACTCATAGAGATCTGCTTGCCTCTGCCTCCTGAATGCTGGCGTAATGAAAGGTATGTGACCAACATGATAGACTATGTATTACTTAATTTTTTATTTTATTTCTTATTTATTTATTTATTTATTGATTCTTGAGGCAGGGTTTTCTGTGCAGCTCTGGCTGTCCTGGACTTGCTTTGTAGACCAGGCTGGCCTCGAACTCACAGAAATTCACTTACCTCTGCCTCTTGAGTGTTGGGATTAAAGGCATGCACCATCACTGCCTGGTTCTATGTTTTAATTTAATTTATCTGATTATTAGTCAAGTTAGATGCTCTCATTTCAGATTCTTACCATTTTTATTTTGAAGTTTTTTCTTTGTAATCAACCTGCCCCCAAACCCAACACTGCTGAAGAAACACCTTTTCACATCACAGAATGATATGGTGTTCAGTAGACATGTGGGGCATGCTGTGTAATGTTGAAAGTCTACTCTAGAAGCACTTGTCTGGAAAAGAGGAGCACTTTATGGCCTCTATAACTTTGGAGAGGTGATGAGACTTTGGACTCAAACAAAGGATAGCACTGAATTAGAGTTCTTTTACTGACTTACAGAAGCCACCAATGGTGCGGTGCCACAGGGCCAGCGACCACCTCCTCGTATTAAGAATTTCCAGATAAACAACCAGATTGTGAAACTGAAATACTGTTATACATGCAAGATCTTCCGCCCTCCCAGGGCCTCCCATTGTAGCATCTGTGACAACTGTGTGGGTGAGTAAAACCAAAGAGATGGTGACTGAGGGATAGGCTTAGTTGAACAAGGGGCCTGAGAGGTCCTGAGTGGCCAGTACTTCTTGGGATAATTCATTGGGAATGAGAAGATAGATTCAGAGGAGAAACAGATAGATTTAGATAGAAAAATAATCTCCTACACAACAGAAGAGTAATTGTATGTATGGAGATTTGGTCTAAAAAATGTCTTTAGTAAGTGAGGAACAATACCTGTTTGGGAAATCTAAAGTTTCCTCTAGTGGATCCATGTCAGGTGTGGTCTGGTTTACAAAGGAGGAGAATACAACCATCCACTAGAGGGCAGTATTGAGGAATACCTATGGCAGAGGTGGCCTTTGTGTTCCCACTATGTACTAAGCACTGTGCCAAGTGCTTTTCCTGGCTCTCATTTAAGGCCCATAACAATCCCTAGAAACAAGGATCACCCACATTTTACAGATGATATCAGTGAAGTGCCTTTATGTGAGTTTGTGTGATTGACATGACATGGATGATGCTTGACCAGGTATGATGTCCAAGCCTTCATCTTTTTTATTTGTAAAATGTCTTTGTTCCTACTACATGTGTATACATGTGCAGAAGACAAGGTCTGTGGTGCCATGTGCATATATGTGGCTTAGTTATACATACTTCCCACTTTGTGCTGAACTCTTGAGAAGATCATACACAGACAATAAAGCTGTTTATTCATTAGGTATACATGTGATACTGCTGCTATGAATGATGCAATTCGAACATGTCGTCTGCTGTGTACCATGTCTGAGAACCTTGTTTTCTCCTATTAGCCTGTTTTTCTGGCAAAGTTTAGTGAGATCTATATTCCTTTGTATGGTCCAAACTGACATGTGGGTTAGATTTTATGAATCAAAATTAATTTAAAATGGACTATGAAATAATATTTAAATAAGATCTGATGGGAAGGTTTCATGAAGAATTCCCTCTCCTTATTAATATTCTTAAATATAAAGAACTCGTACAAGGGGTTGGAGAGATAGCTCAGTGGTTAATAACTCTGGCTACTCTTCCAGAGAACCTGGGTTTGATTCCCAGCACCCACATGATGTCATCTGTAACTTGAGTTCCAGGTGATCTGACACCCTCTTCTGGCCTCTGTGGGTACTAGGCATGGATGTGGTGCAGACGTGCATGCAGACAAACCTATACACATAAGAAAAAAATTGTATAAGTTGGTTTTTTGGGGGTAGACAATGTCTCTCTATGAATCCCTAGCTGCCTTGAAACTTTCTATGTAGATCAGGCTGCTCCAGAAATCACAAAGGTCTGCATGTCTCTGCCTCCCAGGTGCTGAAATTAAAGGCATATGCTACTATACCTGCTTTCAAATTAATTTCTTTTTCAAGACAGAGTTTTTCTGTGCAGCCGTGGCTGTCCTGGACTCACTTTATAGACCAGGCTGGCCTTGAACTCATAGAGATCCATCTGCTTCTGCTTTCCTGAGTGCTGGGATTATAGGCGGGCACCACTGCTCTTAGCTCTACAAGCTGATTTTTTAAAAAAGAGCTAATGCTCTGTGAGAAATATCAACAGTTCATAAAACAGGAAATGTACTTATCTAACTGACATGAAAATATTGTCCACACCTACTAATAATCAGAGAGATAAATATTAAAACTGCATGTTTTTAAAAACATATTTAGTTTTTCATGATTAGTGCTGCCTGCATGTGTATGGGTATGGGGGTTCTTTGTTATCTGGCAACCATACTCCTAAGGAAAAAACATCTCCCTATCCTTCAGCAGCCATCAATTGCTGATAGCTCCTTACCTAAAGATGGGACATTGTTAGTCACTCTTCCATCATGGTGGAATAATAATAATAATACAGTAGTAATAATTAATAATAATAATAAGTTGGCTTTTTTGAGACAGGGTTTCTTTATGTAGTCTTGGCTGTTCTGGAACTCATTATGGAGACCAGGCTGGCTTTGCCTGCCACCTCCCCAGTGCTAGGATTAAAGGCATGTGTCACCACCACCTGACCATGCTTGAATTATTAACTGGCTTGATGTTGTGCAGGTAACTGTAGTCACTGTGAGTTCATGAGTACAATGGTCCTGTCATGATTTAAAAACAGCATCCCAAATCCTCTGCCTGTTGCACTTTTTCCTATCCCTCTTCCATGGTGTTCTCTGAGCCTTAGTGGGGTCAATAAGATCTATCATTTAGTACTGAGCACACAACAATCATTTATTCTCATGACCTTGTCCAGTTGTAAGTGTCTCCATTGACTCCTGCCACTGGGGGGGGAAAGGCTTCTATAACCAAACTGAGAGCAGCATTAAAAATATCTTAAAACATAGATCTGTATAAATTTATATTTTTCTCAATATTTTTATGTGGCAAGTTTGCTTAAAATGAGACTATATCTACAAATCTGAATCTAGATGTGATGCTAACCACTTGAGCATGGCAGCTTTCTTTATACATTTCTTCTTTTGGAAAAAACAACATATATTGAAACCTTCTAACAAGGAGATATACTACTCCTTTTGTTCCCAACATAACATTTTTTTTTATTATTATTTGGGAATTTCTCAGACTGCACCGCAATCATGCCTTACTCCTCAAAAACAAAAGAAAACCCCCAAGTCCAGTTTGTGTTGCCCATATACTCATTGGAGCATGGTCAAACTCCCAGTGGCTAGCCCCTTAAAGAAAACTGAGTCTTTCCTCACCCCAACCGCTGCCAGAAGCCATCAACTGTGAAAAGCTAACTTTAGCATCTTTACTCTTACAGTCTTATTTTTGATTAGTACACAGCTCACTATTCTTCAAGCATTTCCCCCCTCAGGTGTTTGTGTATGTGTATTCATGTGTGTGTGGTTGCCCATTCATGTGTGTAAGCCAGAGGACAATTTTGTTGTCCTCCTTTTTTTAGAGACAGGGTCTCTTACTGGGATCTGTGCCTTAACAAATAAAGCTATCCTGCCTGGCCATTAAGCCCTAGGGATACCCTTATCTCTAACCTCTCTAGTGCTGGAATTATAAATATGTGTTATTGTGACTCATATTGTTTGCATGAGTCTGGTGTGTGTGTTTAACTCAGGTCCTCACACTTGCACTGTAAACACTTTAATGATTGAGCTATCTCTCCAATTCGCTTTATTTTTATTTTATCGTACTTCCATGGGTATTTTGTCTGAATGTGTTTCTGTGGAGCACTTATGTACCTGGTGCTCCTAGGCCAGAAGAGGGTATTGGATCCCCTAGAACTGGAGTTCCAGGTACTTGTGAGCAGTTATGTAGGCCTAGGATTTGAACTCTGGTTCTCTGGGAACAGCAACAGGTGCTCTTAACCACTGAGCTATCTCTCCAGCCCTCAACCTCTTTTTCAAAAAAGCCGATTCAAATTATATATGCTTCTATTAGAAAATATGGGTGGTATAATATATATATATATATATATATATATATATATATCCCAATTTTAAATTCATACTCTATTTTGCCACATTTTGTTCTAATCCTTTAGTTTGTAAAAGGAGACATTATATAATATAAGAGTATTTTTAAATTTCTGAATTAAATTTTTGTGGTACTGGGAGTTGAACAACGTCCTCACACATTCTAGGCAAGCACTTTACCACAGGTTACATCTTCTGCCTTTAATTTTTTTTTTTTAATTTTTCAAGATAAGGTTTTCTTGTGTAGCTTTGGCTGTCCTGGACTTGCTTTGTATACCAGGCTAACCTCAAACTCACAAAGATTTGCTTGCTTTTGCCTCCCCGAGTGCTGGGATTACAGGCGTAAGCCACGGCACCCAGCTGCCTTTAAGTTTTTGTAGTTACTGTACAAATAACAGGCTTCATTATGACATTTCATCCAAATGTACCATCATACTTTGTTCATATTGGCCAACAACCCTTGTTCCTTTCTTTTGTTTCCCGATTACTTCCGTCTCTGCTTTCATCTCTTTCTCTTTCTCTCTCTCTTTCTCTCTCTCTCTCTCTCTCACACACACACAAAACCACAAATCTTGATTCTACATATGAGAGAAAACATGTAGCATTTGCCTGAGCCTGGCTTATTTATTTAGCGTAATCATCTCTAGTTCTGTCCATTTTCCTGAAAATGAATTAATTGCATTCTCCTTTACAGTTGAATAAAACTTGATTTTTATATATAGAGCATACTTAGTCATTGTTGATGAGCGTCTAGTCTAGTTCCATTATTCTGGCCATTGTGAGTACTCCAGCAGAAAACACTCATGTACAAGTATCTCTGTGGAGTATGTACTAGATTCCTTTGGGTATATACCCAGTGGTAGAGCTGAATATTATGCCAGTTTTATTTTTAGTTTTCTGAGGAATCTCTACACTGATTTATGGCTGCTCCACAGATAAGAGGGTTTGTTTTATTTTTTTGAGTATGTGTGTGGACATGTTTGTGTGTGAGTGTGTATGTGTGTGTATGATATGTGCTGGTGTGCTTATGTGCCACAGAATATATAGAGGTCAGAGTACAATTTACATATGTGGTTCTCTCCTTCCACCTATAAGTCAGTCTCATGGATTCAGCTGAGGTCATCTGGTTTGTGTATCAAATGCTTTTATCGTCTGAACCATCTTGATGATCCCTCTCCACCTTATTTTCTTTTTTGAGACAGGGTCTGTCTTTGAACTTGGAGAACATAAATTCTTCTTGACTCATTTAACAAGGCCATCATGGGATTTTCCTATCTCTGCTCCTAGGATTACAAGCATGTGCCACCATGCCTAATGTTTTTTTTTTCTTTTAGTCTTGTTTATTGTATTTTATGTATATGAGTTGTTTTTTTTTTTTTCCAGCATATATGTGCACCATGCAGGCTTGATGCTCACGAAGTCAGTAGAAGGCATTGGGTCCCCTTAGAACTGGAGTTAAAGATGGTTGTGAGCCATCATGTGGGTTATAGGAACTGAAACCAGGTTTTCTGCAAGAACAATAAGTGCTATTATAAACAGAACCTTCTCTCCAGCCTATGTCTAGTGTTTTATGTGAGTGCCAGGGATGCTTATGTGCCAAGCACTTTACAAACTGACCCATCCCCTCAGCTTGACAAGAGGTTTTCTTTTTAAGATTTATTTATTTTATGTGTTCCTACCTGCCTGTCTGCATGCTTGTCTATACATCATGTGCATGCCTTGTGCCTGCAGAGGTGTGTCAGTCTCCTGGAACTGAAGTGATTGATGATCGTGAGCTACCATGTTGGTGCTGGGAATCAAACCTGGATCCTATATAAGAGCAAAAGTTGCTCTTAATCATAACTGAGCCATCTCTGCAGATCCTGATAAGTTTCTAATCTTGCTTTTGTCTATTTTTGTTAGATTTGATTTTATTTTGTTTTAGACAGCTTCACTGTGTAGCCCTGTCTGGCCTGGAGCTCACTGCATAGGACATCCACCTGTCTGCCTCTCAAGCGCTGAGCTCCTATTCTATATCTTTAACATTACTTTATTGGCTGCATAATCTATTATAAGGCTATATTTTAGTTTATTTAGTCAGTCTCCTGTCATCAGATGCTATTCTCTAGTATTATTATTATTATACTGAAATAAAAATTATTGAGCTCAGCTTGATTTAGTGGTATATACTTGGGATATTAATGCAGAAAAATTGTGTGTTCAAAGCCTGCTTAGGCAACATTGCAAGACCCCTTTTCAAAAACATTAAGCTTAAGAATGTGGAGAAGGCTGGGTATGGGGGTGTACGCCTTTAGTCTCGGCACTAGACTAAAGGCAAAGACAAGCAGATCTCTGAGTTCAAGGCCAACCTGATGTACAGAGTGAGTTCCAGGACAGCCAACGCTACACAGAGACACCTTATCTTGAATCCTCCCCCCCCAAAAAAAAAAAAAAAGAATGTGGAGCAGGTAGAACCTCTTTACATTACTAGTAAGAATGTAAAATTGTGTATCCAATATGAAAACATTTAAATAGCTCCTCAAAACTTTAATGTGGCATTACTATATGATCTAGCAAGTGAACTTTTGACTATAAACCTGATCATTTGCTTGGGTTATGATAAGAAAATGCTATAGACTGGATTGTTTAATCTACTGAATATACACATTTCACAGTTCTGGAGACTGGGAAATCCAAGCTCAAGGTGACAAAAGCATTTCTGAGAAGGCCTCTTTCTTTCGCTGGCAGATGGCTAGATGGCTTCTTTTTTTACTGTGTTCTCACACTGTTTTTTTTTTTTTTTCTTCTGTGCTCATACATTTTTAGTGTTTTATCCTCTTCTTAGGAGGACAGAAATTCTCCTGAATGAAGGCCCCACCCTATGGCTATGTAGTGAGATGCTGTCTTCAAAAGCAAAATCAAAAGAAAACACCCTTAATACGTGTTAACACCTTTAACACCCTTTGGCAATTTTCTTGAGGAAGCATATTTTTTTTATTGATTTGGAAAGATTTCATAAAATAAGGCATACATATGATTTTTTTCTCTCTAATTTTTCTTCTATTATTGAGGGAGAGAGAGAAATAGAGAGAAGAGAAGAGAAGAGAGAGAGAGAGAGAGAGAGAGAGAAAGAGAATGCTTTGTGTGTGATTTGTTTGATGTGGGTGGGGCCTGTGTGCCATGCTATGTTTGTAGAGTTCAGAGGACAACTTTGTGGATTGATTCAATCCTACCTTTACTAGTGTAAAGTTGGCTCTGGGGAGCCAATGCAAGTTATCAGGCTTGCAAAGTGACTGCCTTTTGCCATTGAGCCACCTCAATGCCTCTCTAGTATTTTAATGTATGGGAAGTCATTTTTTTTAAGTCAGAGACATTTTTGGGTAGTGGTTTATGAGACAGAGTTTCTCTATTTAGTCCCAGCTGTCCTGGAGCTTGCTATATAGAGCAGACTGGCCTTAAACTCACGGACATGTTCCAGAGTAAAATCGGTTTTTCCTCTATGTTTTCTTGCATTACTTATATGCGTGGAAAGTCCTATATCTGTTCTTTGTTATTATTTTGTGATTTAAATTTGTTTTTAAAAAATCTATAACAGGGCTGGAGAGATGGCTCAGAGGTTAAGAGACTGGCTGCTCTCTCAGAGGTCCTGAGTTCAATTCCCAGCAACCACATGGTAGCTCACAACCATCTAGATCTGGTGCCCTCTTCTGGCACACATGCGTACATGCAGACAAAACATTGTATGCATAATAATAAATAAATAAATAAATAAATAAATATTGTGTGCATAATAAATAAATAAATACATAAATAAATAAATAGATAGATATTTTAAAAATCCTCTTTGCCTTTCTGAATGGAGATTGAGCATCTTAGCCAGAGTCCTCCTTCCTGATTAGCTTTCTTAGGTGTATTGATTTTAGTATGTTTATCCTATATTATATACCGAATATCCACTTATGAGTGAGTATATACCCTGTTTGTCTTTCTGCTTCTGGGATACCTCACTCAGGATGATCTTTTCCAGTTCCCACCATTTACCTGCGAATTTCATGATTTCCTTGTCATTTTTTTATCGCCGAGTAATATTCCATTGTATAGATGTACCACAATTTCTGTATCCATTCCTCAACTGAGGGGCACCTGAGCTGTTTCCAGCTTCTGACTAATACAAATAAAGCTGCTACAAACATTGTTGAGCAGACGTCCCTATTGTATACTTGAGCGTCTTTTTGATATATGCCTAGGAGTGGATATCGGAGAAGGGAGAAAACAGGGAACAGGACAGGAGCCTACCACAGAGGGCCTCTGAAAGGATCTACCCTGCAGGGTACCAAGGCAGATGCTAAGACTCATAGAGAAACTTTGGGCAGAGTGCAGGGAATCTTATGAAAGAAGTGGGAGATAGTCAGACCTGGAAAGGACAGGAGCTCCACAAGGAGAGCAACAGATTAAAAAAGTCTTTTCTGAAACTGATAATCCAGCCAGGGACCATTCATGTATATGGCCTGGAACCCCTCGCACAGAGGTAGCCTATGGCAGTTCAGTGTCCATGTGGCCTCCATAATAATGGGGACAGGGACTGTCTCTGACATGAACTGATTGGCCTGCTCTTTGATCACCTCCCCCTGAGGGGGGAACAGCTTTCCCAGGCCACAGAAGATGACATTGCAGCCACTCCTGATGAGACCTGATAGACTAGGATCAGAGGGAAGTGGAGGAGGACCTCCTTTATCAGTGGACTGGGAGAGGGACACGGGTGGGGAAGGGGGAGGGTGGGATTGGGAGGGGAGGGGGGAGGAAGGTACAGGGGGGATACAAAGTGAATAAACTGTCATTAATAAAAAATAAAAATAATTAAAAATATTAAAAATATATATAACAATTAATTCCACCTGGATTTTTTTTGACAAATAATATGAACAAAAAAATGTTACCTTATTTTCTATAATTAGCCTATTGTCTCATATTATAATCATACTTTCTTTAATAATGGTGTTTAATTAGATGGTAAATTCTTGCATATTCTAGAGTCTGTTTTTGTGTTCTTTCTGTTTCATTGAGCAATGCCATACAATTTTAGGAATGGTGTATTATAGACTTAAGTTTTTAATAAAGACAGGTCAAAAAATTCGCAATGCTCATTTTTCAAATTTACTTTCTGAATTTAGTAGATCCAATTGCTAAGATTTTACTGGGAAAAGCAATATCCCTGCCCTTAACTGATAGAATAACCCAGAATACTGGACTGTTGAAAGCCTTTGTTTCTTGATCTATAAAGTGAGAAAATATTTTTTTAACTGATATCCAGTGTAGTTATAAAGATCTGTTTAGTCAGGGTTATCTAAAGAGGAATCACTGACAGAATGAATATGTATGTGCATGTATACTGGGATGGCTTACAGGCTATGGTCTGGCTAGTCCAACAGTGGCTGTCTCCTTATGAAAAGGACAAGAATCCAGTAAGTAGTTTCAATCCATGAGACTGAATGTCTCAGCAGTCTCAATTTACTGCTAGATCCCTGGAAGATTCCTAAAGAGCTTCTGGTTTTCAGTTTATGTTCCTTCTTCCATGTACTTTTGAGTGGACTGTCATCAGAAGATGTGGCCCAGATTTAGGGTGAGTCTGCTGGCTCAAATAATCTAATTAAGAAAAATCCCTTACGGGCTTGCCTAAAAGCTTGAGTTTTAGTTGATTCCTGATTTTGTCAAGGTGACAGCAAAGTTTAGCCATCACAAGATTGAGGGAACTTCCTTCCTTCCTTCCTTCCTTCCTTCCTTCCTTCCTTCCTTCCTTTCTTCTTTCCTTCCTCCCTCCCTCTCTCCCTCCCTTCCTTTCTTCCCTCCTTCCTCTCTCTCTCTCTCTCTCTCTCTCTCTCTCTCTCTGTTTTTCTGTCTTTCTGTCTCTCTCTCTCAGTCAGGTGTCACTATGTAGCTCTGGCTGGCCTAGAAAACACTATGTAGACCAGGCTGGCCCCAAACTCAGAGATACGTCTGACCCTACCTCCCAGATGCTGAGATTGAAGTTATGCCCAGGTCCTTGAGTTCTTTGGGTTAGGTGCTATGTGGGTTTGGCATTGAGCTCTTTTTCTCCCACAGAGCGCTTCGACCATCACTGCCCCTGGGTGGGAAACTGTGTTGGAAAGAGGAACTACCGCTACTTCTACCTCTTCATCCTCTCTCTCTCCCTCCTCACAATTTATGTCTTTGCCTTTAACATCGTCTACGTGGCCCTCAGTGAGTATAGGGGAAGCATCTGTCACTGGCTGACAGTGGGTGGGGAAAGGCTTTGAGAGCAACTTAGGGGAAGGTGGATTTCTGGTGACACTTTCACTCAGGAACAGACAGAAGCAAGTAGTATTGTCTGTTCTTGAGCTGAACCACAAATCTCAGCTCACATTGGTAAATATTTATTGAGTATTCTGGCCTTCTCTCTGGCCATCTGTTGCCAATGATGACCCATAATTCCTGAGTCACATCCAGAGTACGGAATGATTCTGAAGTGATCCAAAAGGTTGGCTATATATTTGCCTCTATACACCCTCTCATTCTGTCTTGTAATATATATCTGTGTGTTGAGTAGTAGGACTTTGTCCTGTTAGTGGATCATGGTATATGCAAGAGATGGAAAACGCACACCCACATGCCTGCATGTGCACATACACAAAACTGCTAAGGACAGGTAGATTATGGAGCTAATCATGTGGTCTCGACATCTCAACTGGATGTTGCACAAGGCAGCAGTATGGGGAGACAAAGGGTTTTTCTAGAGAACTTCTGGTTTCTTTCCTCTGTTCCTATCCCACTGCATGTCCATATTTGCAGACTGGGAAAAAGAAAGGAAACCTAATGCTTGGTTTCTCCCTGGACCTGGTCCAATGCTTATTCCTGCACTGGAGTATGTGGGGAATGTGAACTCAGTCACGAACTTGCAGGTGAAGAGGAAAGTCTTTATCCTTGCCCTAGCGGGACCTTCTTTCTTACCAGAGTATATAGCACAGGACAGGGATATGAGGAAATGGATAGACACTAGCACTTTTATTTATTTTTTAAATAGTTTTGACTAAAGTCACTAATTTTTCTTTCTGCCCCTCTTCCCAATTTCACAGAATCCTTGAAAATTGGCTTCCTGGAGACATTGAAAGAAACTCCTGGAACATATCCTCCCCTGGCAGTTTGTCTATGTGAAGCCATCTTAAACTGCTTGCCAGCATGTTTTCTTCCTGCGGTCGTCCCACTATCTAGTTTTCCAGACATCAGCAAATGCCAAAGCCTAAAATTAACATATGTAGTCCTAGTGTTAACAAGTAGAATGGGAAATTGTCAGGGTTTTAAGGGAGGCTTGCTCCTCACCTCTTTCTTGGCTGCCTTCAGTCCTTCAAGAGTCCTTCTAGTCTCAGCCTTGACTCATCTAGTTGGCTGCTCTCTATCTAAATACACTTTTATGCTATTTGCTGGGAACCCTACCCTCCTGTTTCAGTGAAAGCTTATTTTGTGCAGTGACTACATTTCTGAAAAGGGAATTTAGAAGAGATTTGGATAAACCACATCTTGTTACCATTCAAATGATTTTTCATATATAAAGTTTATTTTTTGGTGGGATTTCCATAAGCAATGGTGGCCAACAATGTTTAGCTTTGGCATCTTACTAAATATCCTCTTCAAATAGCCAATGACGAACAGGGCAAGTGATACACACTACAAATGCTTTGTAGTGAGTAAACAGAAATGCATTAATGTTCATAAAAATATCTATCCAGTGAAGTTTAGAAATAATCTATAATTATATGCAGATAATTTGACTTTTTGTGATACTGGTTCTGAGAGGTAAAGATCAAAAATATCGTCTGAAGCATCAATTTTCCTATCTCACATGACTTCAACATTCCTTAACCTAACCTCACTGTTCTGGAAGTCCTCATTTGCTTCTTCACACTGTGGTCTGTTGTGGGATTGACTGGGTTTCACACTTTCCTCGTGGCTCTCAACCAGACGACCAATGAAGACGTGAGTCAACTTTCTCATCTCGCTATATATCCTCCTTCTCTCCGTGACCATTTTCTTGTTAGGTGCTAGAAAACCATGTTTCCAGGGCCTGGAAAGATGAGACAAGTGAAAATGAAACCTGGCTTGGGAGATTTTTAAATAAAAGTGTAGAACAGGCAGACAGCTATGTTTGAAGAATAATGCCTGTAGAACATTAGGAAGAGGTTGGAAAGTTGGATAGGCATAATGTCTTTTAGCTGGTTATAGGTCCTTAAAGGCCTAGTTGAAGTTCTAGTGTGATGGAACATTTCTACAATTGCCATACTTGCTGGAGAGACTGAGACAGAAAGATCTCAATTTGAAGGCTATTCTGGGCCAGCTTGAATTACAAAGCTAGACCTTTTCTCAAAACAAGAAAACAATAACAACAAAAGGGCTAGTTGATGCTCTAAATTTGGAACAGAGAAAGATAATTGAACCAAATAAATATTTACTTTTAAGGAATTACCAGTTAATATTGTGGATAATGAGAAAAATATAGTTGAACAAATAAATTTCTGTAACTTTACCTTTTAGATATCACTTTTGTTAGTGGTATGATTTGTCATCTTCTAAACTTGTCTAGATTTTATATTATTTGTTTACACAGAAACTGTATTTTAAAATTAATTTTTATTTAAGATATTTGTACATTTGTACAAATATTTGTATATTTTGGTCATATCCTTTTCTATCCCTCAACTCCTCTCAGATATTCCCCACCTCGCTTCATGTTCTTTTTCTCTCTTGTAAAAGAAAGAAAAAAAAAATCAGAAGACAAAATTCTGTCTAGAACAAAAAAAAAATTACCAAAACAAAGTAAAACAAAACAAAAAACACAAAACACCAAAACAAAGCATAGAATCTGTTTTGTGTTGTCCAACTCCTCACAGGCGTGAGACCTACTCTGGAGTGTGGTTGTTATATCCAGTGACACTCCATAAGGAGAAAACTGACTTTCCCTTTCCTAGAAGATATTAATTGCAAATAATTTCTTGGTGATTGGTAGGACTTTGTGTTCACTTCCCCTTCTCTATGCTGGGGTTTGTCTGCTTTGAACTTGTGCAGTTCTTGTGTATGCTGTCACATATCTGTGAGTTCGAATATACACTGTATTTTAACATAAATTATAGTACATGTTCATTTTTCATGGTAAACTATTTCTTTCCTATTAAAAGTAAATTTATTAAGCAGTATGCACTTGTATGATGTCAGAGTACAACTTGGTTTTCTTCCTACCATGTGATTCTTGATGATTCAGGCCATCAGGCTTGGTGGCAAGTGCACTTCACTTTACCCACTGAACTATCTCCCTGACCCCTATATTTGTCATTAATTTTGGTAAAAAAAAAAAATATATATATATATATATATATATATATATATATATATATATATATATATATATATATATATATGTAAACCAGGTTGGCCTAGCACCCAGGCTCTTCCATCCTTGGCTTCCCAAGTTCTGGGAATGCAAGGTGTATGACCAACATCTTTAACTTTTATAAATGTACAGTTCAGTGACCTGTAGTACATTCCTATTATTGTGTAATTATTGCCATTATCTACCTCTTGAACTTTTCTGTCATTCCATGCTGCATGTATTTCTTCAACTCTTGAATGTAAGCCCTGGCTTTTATTTTGCAGATCAAAGGATCATGGACAGGGAAGAATCGAGTGCAGAATCCCTATAGCCATGGCAACATTGTGAAGAATTGCTGTGAGGTGCTTTGTGGCCCGTTGCCCCCCAGGTACTGGAGTAAAAAAAAAATGCATTGGCTTCTTAAGATGAACTACTCAAGCCTATCATCTTACTTGCTCTGCTGCATTCTTCTGCATGGACCTTCTTGATATCAAATAGGTCTTCTTGAGAATTGACACATAGCACCATATCTACATGGGCCATAAAACCATGGGCCGGTTATTTCATTTGTTTGTTCCCTGGTTAATGTGCCATCCTCTAGTTTGTAGAAGAGTAAATGGAAGATAGATGTGTGCTGGGGTCAGGACAGATTGCCAAAGACATGTTTGGGCTTTTTAATGTACATACCAAGGCTTAGTGGGGATGAGCTGGTAGAAGAATGCATGACAAGTCCTTGATTCATTCTTCTGTTTCTGTCAGTGTGCTGGATCGAAGGGGTATTTTGCCACTGGAGGAAAGTGGAAGTCGACCTCCAAGTACTCAAGAGACCAGCAGTAGCCTCTTGCCACAGAGTCCAGTAAGTATTGCAGACTTACACTGTGTAGGTGATAGGGACTGTGCAGGCTAACTCCACATCTTCAAAATATAACTGCAGGATTCTGTATCCTAATCTCTCCAGCTTCCCTGTCTCTGCAGCTGCCCAGATACTGCCTTCAGATCTGTGTGCCTTTGATGTAGATTAAGATTGATTCATTTCTAAGACACATGTTGAGCAGTTATTTTGTGCCAACCACTTTCATAGGTGCTAGGGCTACACGAGTGAGCAAGTCGAATAATGCCCTGACCTGAAAGGATTTACTGTCTGATGGAGATGAAGGATAAGAACACAGAAGATAGGGAAACATAAAATGTTAAAGAGGCAAAGATGCAACCAGAGGACCATGTTTGAGTTATACAGGTGTGAGCATTCTTCCAGGCATCTTAGTCAAGATGTACGTTATAAAATATGTTCCCGAAAACTATTTGAAATTTCTTTGGGTTTTTGTTTTGTTTTGAGACAGGGTTTCTCTGTAGAGCCTTGGCTATCCTGGACTTGCTTTGTAGACCACGCTGGCCTTGAACTCACAGTGATCCACCTGCCTCTGCCTCCCCAAGTGCTTGGATTACATATGTCCACCACCACTGAAATTTCTTTTTAAGAGTTTTATTGAGATACAATGCACATACCATATAGTGTCTATTTCAAATATAAAATTCCTGAGTATAGTATGTTCACACTTGTATGATTTTAAAATTTTTAAATTAAGAAAATTAAATTAAAAAAAAATTCCTCAACCTCTGCTTTAAGAAACCTTGTATACCTTTAGGAGTATGGTCTGGAGATGGAACCCAGGACCTCATACATGTTAGGCAAGCGCTTTACCAATGAGCTCCCCAGGCCCTGGAGTAATAATTTTAATGCTGATCTGTGTTACATGTGACAGTACTTGTTCCTTTATATGGCAGACTCTTACCCCATCACATGGATGTACCATATTGTATCTATCCATTCAGTGTTTCTGCATTTTGTTTTTTATTTTAAAAATTTTATTTATCGCTACTATGGGGTGTGTATATGTGGTACGTGTGTCTGAGGGTAGGCATGTGTTTGTCACCAGTGCACATGTGGTGGTCAGGTGATGACTTTTAAGAGTCAGTTCTCTCTTCTCACTGTGGGTTACAGGGATCAAGCTGAAGTCATCAGGCTTACTTGGCAAGTGCCTTTACCTGCTGAGTCATCTCACCAACTCTGTTTCTACCTTTTGGTTATTATAAGCAATGCTACTATGAGCATTTCTGTGCAAGTTTTTCCACGGACATATGCTTTCATTTTTCTTGGCTGTATTCCTAGGAGTGAGATTGCTGAGAGAGGTGGGAACTATTTATATAAATAAAACATTAACATCTTTTGGGATGCTGCTGAGATACATTCTGAAGTGGTTGCACCATTTTTCATTTCCACTAGCAGTATCTGATAAATTATCTGATCATTTCTTCTGTAGATGTGAAGTGTTATCTCATTGTGACTTTGATTTGCATTTCCCTGATGACTAATTATGCATACATCTTTCCATATATGTAATTAGTCATTTGTGTATCTTCAGAAGGGAAATGTTTATTCAAATCTTTTCTTTGTGTTCTCTCTCTCTCTCTCTCTCTGTGTGTGTGTGTGTGTAAGTACGTAGGTAGGAGAGCAGTGGATAACTTTTAGTGTTCCTTAAGTGTTTTCCAGCTTCATTTTTGGTTGGTTTGTTCATTTGTTTGGCTTTTGCTTTTTTTTTTTTTCAGATAGCCTCTCTGACTGACCTGGAGCTCACCAAGTAGAGTAGGCTGCCTGTGCATCACCCATTCCCCCCAACCCCCAATGATCCTCTTGTCTCTGTCTCCCCAATGCTGGGGTTAGAAATGCATGCTTCCACTCTTAGCTTTCTCATACCCTGGGTTCTAAGGATTAAACTCAGGTTCTCATGTCTACACAGCAAGCACCTTATGCCCTGAGCCGTTGACGTAGCTCATATGTTTTAAATATTGTGTATACATTTCTTTTTTTCTTTTATTGCTCACCTTTTTGGTGCCATGTCTAAGAAACTATTACCTAAACCAAGGTTGTAAAGATTTATTCCTCTGTATTTTCTAAGATTTGTGTAGTTTCAGCTTTTACAATTATATCTTTGATTCATTTTCGGTTAATTTTTATACATGGTAAGAGGTAGAGAGTACACATTTACTTTTTTATTTTTGTCTGTGAATATCCAGTTATCTTTCTACCATTTGTTGAAAAGATTGTCACCCTTTTTGTATTATTTGGACACTGTTATTAAAAACTAACTGACTGAAATGTGTGGGTTTATTTCTGTCCTCTCAATTATAGTCTGTTGATCCATATATCTGTTCTTATGCCTGTATTATACTGTCTCTGTTGCTTTAGCACTAAAAAGTTTTGAAAACAGGAAACGCTATTCCTTCAACCTTATTTTTTATGCTTGTTTTGGCTATTCTTGGTTTCTTGAAATCTGAATGAACATTAGGATTATCTTAGAGCTTATTAGTCTCTTTGAAGAAGCCAACTGGGATTTTGAGAGATTATATTGACTCTATAGATCAATTCGAGGAGTATTGCCACCATAACACAAGTTTTCTGAGCCATTAACATGGCTATCTTTTGCTGGAGATGGAGGTAGTGTCCTTGCAACACATGCATACCCACATGCACTCTTACACAGAGGAGAGACACAGACAGACAGACACACACAGAGAGGAGATACACACACACACACACACACACACAAAATAGATAGATACCAGAAAGAGCTGATCTGTCTCTTTGACTGTCATCTCTGCTACCATGTCATGATATAGTGAGACAGTAGCTTTCTGCCAAGTAGTAAGGGAACCCTTACCAAAAACATGGGCTATCTTTTTATTCACTTTGGTTTTATTTGATGCTGTAGGTTTTTTTTTTTATTATTTTTTAATTCTCTTTTTGGTTTTTCAAGACAGGGTTTCTCTGTGTAGCCCTGGCTGTCCTGGACTTGCTTTGTAGACCAGGCTGGCCTCAAAGTCACACAGATCTGCTTGCTTCTGCCTCCTTGAGTGTTGGGATTACAGGCATGAGCCACCGAGCCTGACTGTTGATGCTGTAGTTTTAAATGTATCTTATGTTACATAAATATTTTGTTCTTTTTAACATTAATGTAAATGAAGTTGATTTCTTAATTTCATTTTTTGCATTGCTCATTAGAGTATTGAGAAATGCAATTAATCTTTGTGTATCAGTCTTATATTCTGAAACCATAGCTAAACATGTTTTTCTTCTAATAGGTTTTTAGATTTAAACTTTGTTTCAAAATAGAATCTTATTTTATGTGCATACTTTTTGTAAGATTATTATTCTTTTTCCCCTTAAACCTTTATTTTACTTTTTAAGGGACTGTAAGTATGTTTACATGTTATCATCATTATCTTGAATATCATTTTTCTGATGAGACTGGTCCCAAATAATGACAATATAGGTTAGTGGTTCTCAGTTGACTATAGGAGGGGATGTATTTTAGAATCACTTAGGAGGGTCCTGAAGAGATGGCTCAGTGGTTAAGAGCACTGGCTGCTCTTCCAGAGGACCTGGGTTCAATTCTCAGTACCCATATGGCAGCTTACACCTGCCTGTAACTCCAGTTCCAGGGGATCTAACACCCTAACTCAGACATACATACAGGCAAAACGCCAATCCTCATAAGATAAAAATAAATAGTATAAAAAAAAATCACTTAAGCATCATTTTAAAATGTATGTGTCATTTGAAGCTACTTTTTTTTTTTTGGATTCACTATTCTAATAAATTGTTCGTTAGGACAGAAATGGGATTGAAAACCATTGGCTCAGACATTGTTAGACAAGCACAGTATAATATTCTGTTGTGGTGAGTATGCTTGTGTATAATTATTTATGGCTCATGTTATTATCATTATTTATAATAGTATAAACATCTGTCCATAACAGTTAAGAATAGACCTGAAATAATCCACAAGTGCATTCTGCTGAGACAATGATAGCCTGGGCTTGGATGTGAGTTTGGTGACTATGGCCTTAGTGTCACTATGGTCAAATGTTTTCTAGGAAGAAGTCAATGCCTTTGGATTATCTGCATTTAGACCTTAAGAGAGAGCTTTGTGTTGAATCTGCTTTCTTTTACTTCTCAGGCCTCAACAGAACATATGAACTCTAATGAGATGCCAGAGGACAGCAGCACTCCGGAAGAGATGCCACCTCCTGAGCCCCCAGAGCCACCACAGGAGGCAACTGAAGCTGAGAAGTAGCCTATCTATTGAAGAGTCTTTTGTTTGTGTTTCATTAGGGCTATGAGAGATTTCAGGGGAGAAGATCAACCTAAGACAGAGAGCATATAAGCTGTCCCTTATTACTATTTTTCATTGGTCTTAGTCACCCAACTGCACACTGGCATTTTCTTGCTGCAAACTTTTTTTTTTTAACTTATGGACTTAAGACAGTGGCAAAAGATGCCACTCACATATGGCAACTGGACAAATGGGTCTCTTGGGACATGGTTTTGGGTTCCCATTGTCTAAGCCACAAGGTGTCCTTGCACTCTCCTTCTCTTCCCTCCAGATTGTAGCTCTCCTGATGGGGGTCATTGGTCTCATTCTGGGGCTAAAGATTCTCGAGACTGACTTAAGTCCTTTCCTGCTGCTGCGTGTCCTGAGTCCAGAGGCAGTCACAGAAACCTCTGGCCAGGGAATCCTAACCAGGCTCTTGACTCCTTCAATACTAATGAGGATTGGAGAGGGAGGTTGGAGGATTCTCCTGGCTACAAAGTGCCAGCATTGCCAGCCAGTCCTTTTGGAATAGGGCAGGTATTGTATTTATTTGTAGCTTCTCCTTTCTCCCTCTATGCATTCTCTAACATCCACATCTCACTCTTTCCCCATTAGATGATATACATAAGTAGTCATAGTAGAGATAACAAGTTACATTTCTCATAGATTCTCCAGAAACTTCAATGGCTGTGCTATTCTCAGTAAGCATTGATGAGATGCCAACAGCATAGCCCCTCACACTCTCTGTCTCATCTCCCCTCTTTTCTCATTAGCCCATTTTAATTTTCTTATTTTGACTCCTGCTTCCGTTGGGAGCAGGAATGGCAGTAATAAAAGTCTGCACTTTGGTGGTTCCTTTTCCTCAGAGGAAGCCTGAGTGCTCACTTAAACACTACCCCTCAGACTTCTTGTGTAAGGCCTACAAAGGCCCTGAATGCACAAATGGGGAAGCCAAGGCACAGAGAGGCTCTCCTCTCCTCTCTTCTCCTCTCTTCTCCTTTCCTCTCCTCCCCTCCCTCCCACTCTCCACTCTCCTCTACTCTTCATCCCTTCAAAAAGAAAAAAAAAGGACTAAACAGTACTTCCATTAAGCCTTGGCTGAGTGAGGGAAAGCCCAGAACTGCTGCCCTCCCGGGTATCCCACTCCAAGGCCTCAGTGCACCTCTGGCAATGGTAACCACACCATGGGCTTTATCCAAGCCCTACTCTTCCAGCACTTCCACCGGCAGAGTCCCAGAGCCACTTTCATCCTGGGGGTGGACTTCAGCCCCCAGGCAGCTCTGATCAGGACCCGCACTATTTCAGGGAAGAAGATCTATGTATTATATGTGGCTATATTTCCTAGAGCACCTGTGTTTTTCTCTTTCTTAAGCCAGGGTCTTGTCTGGATGACTTACGGGGACAGGGAGGGGTGTGAACCACAACTTTTAATCTATTTGAAGGCAATTAAACTGTGTCTAATGCAAGCTGCCTGCCTCCTCCTTCCCCTTCCATTTCAAGAACCACCATGGGGTTGTGAATGTGTTTGTGTGCTGGGTCAGGGGGTGGGTGGAGGGTAGAAGGGATTGCTTGTTACTTCCCATGCTTTCATTTTCCAGGGTACCCTTGAGTTGAAGAGATAGATACCTCTCAAATTCAACCTCTCCATTGATCTATTTAATTCTGGGCCGAAGTTCATCTTATTCTGGACTATGAACACAGGACTTTCAAGTAATATACAGTGTGAACAAGACTGGGAGAGTAGAGGGATTACACTTACTTAAGAGAACACGTTCTCTATTAGGATATTTTTTTGAAGTAGATGGATACTGTTATGTGCAAGTGGGTCTTGGTTTTCGAAGCAGGCTCGCCAGGGCCTCCCCTTGGAAATATTTCATTAGTGATCTTCTACAAGTGATGGCATGCATTTCTTTTCAAACGGTCTATAATCAAGACTCCTATCTCACTCTTTGCAGTTACTTGTATCTAGTGACATTTGGCTGCTCCCAGGTTTCTCTGTGTCTTTCCATTTTGGTTGTTTCAAGATTTGAATCGAATATTCCTGGGGAAAGAGTCATTGGGAGAGAGATTGTCTCAGATTCCTCTCCTGTCTGTTTCTCCTTTTCCTTTTTTTTTTTTCCTCTCTCTCTCAGTTTTGTTATTATAGTGAGATTTCAGTTAGACCAAAATTAGGGCAATCATAGAGAGTGCGGAAGTTACTTTTTTTTTTTTTCCAATCAGCCTATTTCCCACAGGACTCCCTTTCTAGTCAATACTCAGGCCATCTCCACTCTTGGGCCAGGGTGGGTTTCTTTCCTCCCTTGACTTACCTCAGTTACTCTTCTTCTGCCCCAAGTCGGCCCAAGAGCTTTCTCTTTCTAGTGGGAAGAATCAAAATGAAAATCTTTTATCTCTAGCGAAAATATTTTGGGTTTTTGTTTGTTTTTGTTGTCTCTTTTTTTAATCTGCTTCCTTACACTCTTTGCTCTCTTTCTCTTTCTTTATAAATCTTCTGTATTTAAGACTTTGGCCTGAAGACCTGTCCCATTCATATCAAATACCAGTTGGGACTGTCCCTAGTCTGAGCTCTGATTAGAGGATAGACTGAAAATTTGATCTTTCTGTGGGGAAAGAGACCTTATATTGTTTGATGTTTTCAATGGCTGACACTCTCCAACTCTCCCCTTTCTCTCATTCCTCACACTTCCTATGTACCCATCCCACTTCCCCAGGCCAGGATGGTTGGCACTGATCCAAAATTGCAAAGGAAGGGGAAATGTATGTCCTTTTGGTTCTGGGGGCTTCCTGGCCCTAGCTGAAATCACTATTGCTCCTTTTGCATTTTTCCCCAGGAGTGGGGTTTGATTAGAGGTGGGTTCTAATTCTATAGCAGCTAAATTCCGTTCTTCCCATCTGACCATCCTGCCCTTACCCTCAGGTCCCTTTTCCTACTGACCAAATCTCTTTAACTTGTTTGGGAGAAAAGTATTTTGTTTTTAAATCTATTTTCTAACTTAAATGCAATTTAATATGTAAATCTCTGCACTTTTGTGTGAGCCTACAAATGTGTATGTGTTGGGGTTTTTCACTCTCTGGTATTTCTTAATAAAGAGATCTTTGTTTTGGGGGGAAGCCAATTAGTGAAGGAGACTTGAACGGTTTTAGAAATACAGGGATGTTTGTTTCTTTGTGATTCTGCCTGATTTTTTTTATTTGAGTCTAGTATGAGTGATTGGGCCCTTGCCTCACCTTTGGAAACTGGCTCCTCTCCTTTCCATTGAGAGGGCCCTCAAATAGGTGGTCCAGATAGAGACCTCTCCTGTATCTTGTACCCCTCTGGGACCACTTAGATTGGCTCAAGTGGTAACCTAGCAACTTAGCCTCCTTCTTGCTCCCTGTAGCCTGACTCTGTTAGTCCTTTCTTCCAGCTTAGTTCATTTTATACTACTGAGGCTGGGGCCAGGCTAGAGAAAAATCACCAAGAGATCACAGTAAATATTTTTTTACCCCTAAGGATATTATTTTTCTTTCTTCTGGTGCTATTAAAGAGTCATGTTCCCAATAATTCCAAAGGCATTTGTGCCACTTTTGAGAATACATCCTAGGAATTTCTTGCTGTTCTCAAAGGCTCAAACTCTGAATATCATTAGTTTTAAAGGTTGTAAGCCCGACACACAAGAAAAGGGTGTTGGTGAATTGTATGTTTTGGGTAAATATAAAAGGGGAGTAAACATACACATACATCTCAAGAACTTTCAACTATCACATTGGACATAAATGCAGGTGGGAAAATGGTATAGTTGCCGGTCCTAATTATTTTATAAATAAATACAAGATGATTCTATAATGTGAATATACACTGATTTTCCAGAAACACAGCCACTGTGTAGATTGTAGAGATGTGGTGCTTTACTTTGTTTGGAAACTTGCTAGGAGCTATTCTTGTCACTGTAGTGTCATTCATGGGTATTGAAGTGGCCAACACAACCTACCTGTGTGAGTCTATGTTTATATTACATTCAATAGTGATTCTTCAGATAGTAGGCTATAGCTCATACTTTATTATATGTCTTAGACTAATCATTCCCAAGTGTTTATATTAAAACATGTTATCTTATAAATTACTTTTATTTTTTCCTTTATGGTATAGCTAGTACAGTAAGTCCTTCATTTCCTTGAGTTCCATATTCATACATTCAACTAACTTTAGATTTAAGATATTCTTTTTTTTTAATTTTTATTTTTTATATTAATTATAGTTTATTCACTTTGTATCCTAGCTGTTGCCCCTTCCCTCATTCCCTCCTAATCCCTCCCTCATCTCCTCCCATGCCTCTCTCCAAGTCCACTGTTAGGGGAAGTCCTCCTCCCCTTCCATCTGACCTTAGCCTGTCAGGTCTCATCTCATCAAGACTGGCTGTATTGTCTTTCTTTGTGGCTTTGCAAGGCTGCTCCCCCCTCCGGGGGTGGGGAGGTGATCAAAGAGCCAGCCACTGAGTTCATGTCCAGACAGTCCTTGTTCCCCTTACTAGGGTACCCACTTGGAAACTGAACTGCCATGGGCTACATCTGAGCAGGGGTTCTAGGCTATATCCATGAATGGTCCTTGTTTGGAGCATCAGTCTCAGAAAAGACTCCTGTGCCCAGAAATTTTGGTTCTGTTGCTCTCCTTGTGGAGCTCTTGTCCCCTCCAGGTGATTTAAGATATTAAAAGCTTCATCTGTCCTGGGTGATGTTGGCACACCCCTTTAATCGTAGCACTCAGGAAGCAGAGGCAGGTGAATCTCTGTGAGTTCAAGGCCAGCTTGTTCTACATAGTGAGTTCCAGGCCAAACAGAGCTACACAGTGAGACCCTATCTCAAAACAAAACAAAAACAACCTGCATCTGTACTAAGTATGTACAGACTTTGTGTGTCAACATTCCATATTACAGTATAACAACGGTAATAACATTTACATTGTGTTAATTATTATAAGTAATCTACAAATTACCTTAAATACACAGGACAACGGTGCCTAAGGTTGTATGTGTAATATATAATTTTTATGAGTATCTAGAGATTTGGGTATCCCTAATAGTGAGAATGACAGGATTAATAATACATGGAGGCTGAGGAATAACTATACATAATCATGCTGGCTTGGAGGATTAAGTAGATTATGTTAACTCTGCAGTTCATTTCATGGTTGTAAAAGGGGCAGTGAAACATATTGCATATAGCAAGAGAGTGTTGAAGTTGAGAACCAGTGGACCAGGTTATTTCGTATTCCTTTCTAACTCAAAATATTTAGGAAGCTTAGAAAGGAAAAACAACAACAACAACAACAAAACCTTGTTTCTATCATACCCTTAATGTGCTTTAAAAAAAATTCCCTACTCACTATTGAAAACTGCAAAAATAAGAGAACTTTCAAAAATCTATAAACTCATCACCAAGATATAATAATCACTACTGATGTTTTGGTACAGTCCTTTCTAGGCTCTCTCTAGACTGTCTCTCTTTCTCTCTGTCTCGGTGATTCAACTAGAAATGTAGTTGTTATTATTATTATTATTATTATTATTATTATTATTATTACAGAGCTGGAATTAAACTTAGGGCCTCATGTATGCTAAAGAATATCTCTATCACTGAGCTATATTCTAAGTTCTAAATAATATTTTAAAATCTGCTTTCTATCTTAGCATTTTCTATATCATTAGGAGTTTTTATAAGTCCTTCTCTGACTCTATAATATGTCAAGACTCTCCCCTCTAGAGTCACACATTTTGGAGTTTCCAGCTTTTATTATAAATGATGCTGTGACCAACTTCTTTATATATGAGCATATTGATTATACCTTTATATATTTCTAGAAGCAGAACTACTGAGTCACAGAGAATGCTCTTTTACAAGCTCTTGGGAAGATTGTTGCTTAGAAAGACTGTCACAGCATTTTTCTGTCAGCATTGTATCAAAAAGCATGCTTTAACCCATGCCATTCAAACATTTGGTGTAACAATTTGATAGTATAACTCTCAGTGTTGTATGCTTTATATTTTATTGGTTAAACAGTGAGATTAAGCATTTTTTTGCACTTTTCACCTACTCTATATTTATTGATATTTGTATTTCTTCTGTGAATTATCTGTCCAAGTCCTTGATCTGTTTTCTTTTGGTGCAAAGTCATTTTCTAATAAATCAATCAATTAGAGCTTAGGACTCAAATTCTCTCATGGGTCTGGAAATGAGAGGACCCTTTATTTAGAAATGATTTTACAATTCCAAAACATGATCTAGAGCTACGTTCTTGACATTCCATGTTTTTTTAGTTTTCTTTTTTTAACACTTATTTTTATTATTTTAGTATGTATGTTTGCTTGTGGGATTGCATCACATGTGTGCAATACTTGCAGAAGCCAGAAGAGGGCATCAGATCTCTTAGATTTGGAGTTATAGAGAGTTGTGAGTCACCTAACATGAGTGCTGGTAACTGAACTCAGGTCCTGTACAAAAGCAGTATGTGTTTTTAATCACTGATCCATCTTTCTAGCCCCCCCCATCTTCCTTTTTTTTTTTTTTTTGAAATTCATCTTTCTACTGTCTTATCTGTGAGCTACTACCCATCTATTTGTCTATCAGTAGTTATTTGTCTATTCCAACTTGGAGTTTTATGTTTGAATAAGACACATAATGATTATTTGTCACAAAATACAGGCTCTGTTGAACAACATAGCTGAAAGGAGTCTATTGATGACATGGGCCATGCTGCTTCCTGCTTGCTTGTGCTCTCATATTCATGACCTTTCTACAAATTAAGTACAAACTTATGTAAAGTCACTTAAAGAGTTACCAGTAGAGCCAAGACCAAAAGGAAGATGCACTATCAAAATTCAGAGCTTTCTAGTACAACCCATTTTTTCTATGTTAAGTGGGTATAAATGGAATTTGGATTACTACAAATAGCATTTGAAGTCTGATTTGTTTCATATTCAGTAAACAGTTTCTGAGTATTGAGCATGTGCTAGGACAGAGGTTCTCAACCTGTGGGTTGTGACCCTTTTGAGAATCAAATGATTCTCTCATAGGGTCTCATACCAGATATCCTGAATAACAGATATTTACACTACGATTCATGTCAGTAGCAAAATTACAGTTATGAAGCAGCAATAATGTTATAGTTGGGAGCTCATCAAAACATGAGGAACTGTATTAAAAGGTCACAGCTTAGGAAAGTTGAGAACCACTGTGCTAGGGTTAATTTAGAAGAAACTGCATTGCTGACTTCATTCTCTCTTAAGCATGTTGACATACAACAGTCGTTTGTAGGATTATTTGTCATTTGGAGTTTACAGGGTTGATGATTTTTCCATTTTAGTGATCTGACTGTATTATAGTAAGGCTGACAAAGGGATGGTTCCTGAGTTTTTGTTTAAAACTTAAATCTATTCAATTTTTCTCCACCCCCCTGCACTTAGGTTGAACTTGTGGTGGGGTTTCTTTAGTATTGAAAGTCAGGAAGTTGCCTTGCCAGTTCCCACAATCAAATTAGCTGTGCTTTTGTGAAGGTCATTGAGTTGGGTTCATTCTGGCTTTCTGACGCTATCTCTAGAGGTCCCAGAGGCAATGGTATACAAATGCTATATTGGTCACTGTGAAGTTATAGGAAAAGGTGAAGCCTACATATTAAGTACTATAGAATTCCATTTATTTAAGTACTTCCTAGAGGAGGAGTCTTGTCCGAGTCCAGAGGAGAGGCAGTTCCTTCCCAGTTGATTGTGTTGTTGGCTGAATAATAATGTAATATGGCCACTGAATAATAATGTAATGTGTGAGAAGTGAAGGTAGATTCCATTGTGTAAGAGAGCTGGGAGAACCACTTTTTTTCCCAGCTTGAGAACCTCATCCTGAATTTCCTGAATTGGGAAGGGGGGAGGTGTCAGGCCGTGCTGGGACTATGGTGATCAGTGTGCTTTTTTTTTTTCTTTCCCTTACAAAAACAAAAAACAAAAAACTGCTTTTTTTTTATATTTCAATGTTCTTGGCTCCTGTGATCCAAATACAGCCTCCATTCCTGGGAAAAGTCTGATGGGGAGCTCAGAAAGTGAGTGAGAAGTTGGAAAGTTACCCGCAGGATTGGGTCCTTTACCATGTGTTGGCCCACACTACCATAGAGGTTGGGGTCAGGTGAGGGTCTGTGGGGAGCTGGTCTGAACCTGCGTGGAGTGGTCTTAGGTAGTATCAATGAGACATAAAATCTATAAATGAGAAGGGAGGCAATTTAGCTGGTATGTGCCAATGCCTGGAACTGCTTCCCCTGAGATGGGAAGAAGGAAAACTTGTCTGTCTTCTGTTCTTGTGATCACTGGGGCTGTTGTTTGGCTACCTCCTTTCAGTCTGTAATGGACCTAACTGGCCAAAATGAATCCTATGTCTTTGAGCTATTCTTCTACTTGTACCCAGACCATTCTCCAGGGCAAGGGAGGATTTCAAAACATCATTCTCTCATGAGTTCTTTTTCCAACATTTCTCTTTCTTCATCTTAGCACTAATGTATAACCATCACCCAGGGTTGTATTGTATATATATTTTCATTTTATGGTGTTATGCATACTCGGTGAGATGAGTTCCACTTCTGAGCAACACTCCAGTCCAGTTTAGGGATTTCTTCTGGTAAAAGGAGCCTCTGGGGCAAATGATATTTTTTTAAAGTACTTTGGTCATTAGTTACTCTCAGTCCTCATCTTGCCAGAAACTTTTGTCCTGACTGAAAGCCAGAAGTTTAGGCACTATTGATTTGTTAATTTGGTTAAATCTAATTATATATAATAATTATATATAATAATATATTATATACCACATGTGGTATATATTATACATACACTTGTTTTTTGTTTTATTTTGGTTTTGGTTTGGTTTGGTTTGGTTTTTCATGTCAGGGATTCTCTGTGTAGCCTTGGCTGTCTTGGACTCACTTTGTAAACCAGAATGGCCTCAAACTCACATCAATCCACCTACCTCTGCCTCCCTGAGTCCTGGGATTAAAGGCATGCACCACCATGCCTGGCTGTGTTTTTGTTTTTCTGAGACAGGTTCTTGTTATATATCTCTGGCTGCCCTGGAATTTTCTGTATAGTCTAGAATAATCTCAAAATTCCAGATCCTCCTGCTTAGCCTTTCAAGTGCTGTGCATCACCATGACTAAAAATGTAACTTTTTTTTTTCAAAACTTGATATACCATTCTTTTTTTTTTTTCATAAATAGAAAGTTCTTAAATAGTTTTACAAGTCAAAAAAGAACAAGTATGTGGAAAATGAGGCCCTCATTGGCTCAGCCCTGAGTCTATGCTTTTCACCTTTAGGGCTGATCTTTACAGTTTTTATTCTGTATGTTTTTCTCTTCTTAAACATATAATACTTGTCTCTCTTCTTGATATAACAAATCTTTACAAGAAAGCTGAACATTATATAAGTTAAAAATTTGAAAGTAATTAAAATCATAAAGATTTCCCTAGGTCATTAGTTTACTGCAACATGCTGCTACCAACCAGTTGCTGTGTAATTTAGTATGAACCCACTGTACTGTAATTGGCCATTTGTATTGTTTCTAATTTCTTACAGACACAATTGTTGTGCATGTCTTTATCAGTATATTATTGTACACTTGCGTGGCTCCTTGTGTATGACAAATCGTGGAAGAGGAAAGGCTGTGTCAAAGGGTCAGATTTCTTTTGAAGCCCCCCACATCTATTGCACAGCTTGTTAGCTAAGGAGAAGTGTAATACAGAGCTTAAGGACATGGGCTTTAGGGCTGAAGAGATGGCTCAGCCATTAAAAGCACTTGTTGCTTTTGCAGAAGACCTGGATTTGTTTCTCAGCACCAACATTATGACTCACAACCATCTGTAATTTCTGTTCCACATATTCTAAAACCCTCTTTTGACCTCCCTGGGCACCAGACACATATATGGTGCATATTTATACATTTACATATGCAGATAAAACACTATCACACATAAAAAATATAATTTAAAAAAGATATGGGTTTAGATATCATGTAACCATCTTGCCCCTGTGACTTTCTAATCACCCTGCCTAACCTCTCAGCTTATTTGTTCCTCTGTAAATTGGATGATGATGATCATGATGATAATATCTTTCTCAATATATAAATGCTCAGTAAGGGTAGCAATTACTTAGCCATTCTCAGGACACATATTTCTTGGGGGAAGAGAATGCTCATAGCTTTCTGATACCCAGAGTCCCTAGCAGCAATATGGTTGAACAGCCTAGAAGTCGATTGGCCCCATATTTACTCTGGTAGCATATCTCACTCTAAGTGGCCCTTCTTTTTAATTTTTTTTATATATTATGATTTATTCACTTTATATCCCAGCTATAGCCTTCTTCCTTGTCCTCTCCCAATCCCACCCTCACTCCCTCTTCTCCTCCCATGCCCCTTCCCTAGTCCACTAATAGGGGAGGTCCTCCTCTCCTTCCATCTGAACCTAGCCTATCAGGTCTTATAAGGACTGGCTGTATTGTCTTCCTTTGTGGCCCGGTAAGGCTACTCCCCTCAGTGGGAGGTGATCAAAGAGCCAGCCACTGAGTTCATGTCAGAGAAAGCCCCTGTTCCCCTTACTATGGTACCCACTTAGAAACTGAGCTGCCATGGGTTACATCTGTGAAGGGGTTCTAGGTTATCTCCATGCATGGTCCTTGGTTGAAGTATCAATCTCACAAAAGACCCCTGGGCCCAGATTTTTTGGTTCTGTTGCTCTCCTTGTGAAGTTTCTATACCTCCAGGTCTTTCTGTCTCCCCCTTCTTTCATAAGATTCTATGCACTCTGCCCAAAGTCTGGTTATGAGTCTCAGCATCTGCTTTAATACCCTGCTAAGTAGAGTCTTTCAGAGGTCTTCTGTGGTAGGCTCCTGTCCTGTTGCCTATCTTCTCCCTCTTCCGATGTCCATCCCATTTGCCTTTCTGAGTGAGGATTGGTCATCTTATCCAGGGCCCTCCTTATTGCTTACTTTTTTTTAAGTGTACAGATTTTAGTATGATTATCCTATATTATATGTCTAATATCCACTCTCAAGTTCCAGCTATTATACTCCTAAGAATATATCCAAAATATGTTCAAGTATACAGCAAGGACTTTTGCTAAACCATGTTCGTAGCAGCTTTATTTGTAATAGCCAGAATCTGAAAACAACCCAGATGTCCCTCAGTTGAGGAATGGATACAGAAATTCTGGTACATTTACATAATGGAATACTACTCAGCAATTAAAAAGAAGGAAATCATGAAATTTGCAGTCAAATGGTGGAAACTAGAAAAGACCATCCTGAGTGCAGTATCCCAGAAGCAGAAAGACACACATAGCCCTTCTTGGTTTAGGTAATATACAAAGGAAGCCCGTGCCACTTTCCAGGAAATGGTGATGCTTTAGTGTGTCCACGGTGAGGCTCAGGAGGAAGGAAGTCTCAGGAGAAAAGCCCTGCAAATCCTAGCTGTTCTGCTTTTGTTCCCTGTAAAGCCCCTCCCCCCAATGTAGACTCTTCTTCACAAGAATGAAGGGCTTTAAAAGGCTCCTATTTAAGTGATTATAGGAAGAGGAAGTAGCTCTTGCTTAGCCAGCTCTCAGACCACAGCAAGGCCTGTGGCTATGGTCATATAAGCCCTGTTCTCAGTAGGGATGTTTGGAAGGAAGAATGGAGCCAGCTGTAGGTTTATATGGAGAGTTAGGTTAGCAGAGTCAAGAATACTTGCATCCTCAAGTAGGGGAAAGATGGCCCTGAAAAGGACAATGAATGGGTATTTTGCTGAGATTGGCTTTAAAGAACTTTTGATCCCTCTTCCAACCCTTTTGACACAGGAAAGAAAACAGGAGGCAGTAATTAAGTTTTATTTATATTTATTTATACTAATTTGTCTGTCCACCGTCCTTTATTTACATTCAACTCCTTTACCCAAACTAGATTTTATGAAAGTTCTTGGTAGGAGATCAGAAGCATGCCCACTCACTAAGCAGGTAGTCCTACCTGTGATGGGCACAGTTGAGCTTGCATCAGGAAGAGCTTCTTTTGCTACTGAAGTCAAGGGTACCCGTAATAGATGTGACGATCTACTGACACTTTGGAGCTAGGACACTAAAACTTTCAGCAAATCAATGTTGGGTGTAGTGGAGCCTCCAATGGCAAGCAAAAGCCTGCCTTTGCTTACGAAGATCCACATAAATGAACAAGCCTGGGCCCATACCTGTATCTGACTTTCAGGAGGCAGTTGTGCCATGGAAGGTGTATCCATCTTCAATCATCCTGTGAGAAACTGTGTTTTAAGGGGCCAAGGAATAAGTGGGGTCACTTCTAGTATGAGATATGGGAATCTTTTTTTAAGCTGGGAAAAGTTGCCACTCAGTTTGAGTCACATGGAAAGGTATGAAATGGATGAGAAGGAAGAGCTATTTCATTGGACACTTTAGGCCCTTCCAGCCTCTTCAGGAAGTCCACTGGTATCCTGGATGGCAGGCAGCTGGAGAGCACATATTTAAAGGTGCAGAATTATCAGCTTGTGGAGCCCTCAATAACTGACCATTTGAATCCTTACCAAGCTGAAGCCAAAAATAAGGCAGACATATAGTTCAAGTCTCATGGTGACTTAGTAGTCAGACCTCTAGAACTCTGAGAAGAGTAGTGGAGACAGTATGTGAGGCTTCCTTCAAACCTCATTTAAGGAATTCTGGACTCACCAATGTCCAACTGAGGTCCTTTGAAAGAGCCAGCTTCCTTAGGGCTTTAAAGACTGGTTTGAAACAGTAGTTTGGTGTCCTTCTTAGAAGCAGTATGACAGTGGTGTGAAGGTAAGAGAGTTTGGGGGGGGGGCATGGTCACATGGCATGGCTAGATTCCTTGGTGTCCCACTTGTAAGGCCATAGTGAGAGAATAGGAGATGCCAGAAGTGGTTATTCTGTCAGTCACTGGTAGAGGGGGAGGGTCCAAAAAGGTGGTGTATGCCTTTTGGCAGTCCCTTATTCACTCTGTCTGAACCTATAGCAACCTGGCAGGGCCTTCAGCCATAAGCCTCCCTGGGGAAGAAGGGCCAGATTCTGCACCAGTCCTCTGATCCTGAGCCATTATGGGAGGCCCCGCCCATCCCTGCAGTCTCTGCAGCTAGGGCTCAGCCTCGGCCTATGCCATCTTCACTTCAAGGTGCCCCTGCCAGGGAGAGACCCTGCAGCTGCTCCTCTGTGCCTGCCAGCTCTGCCTCATCACGCCCACTTTCTGAACCCTCGAAGCAGCCAGAGTCGCGTGGGATGTCCACCTTGAGTTCTGACACTGTGTGCACCAAAGGCTCCTGGCTGCTCTCTGCACCTTCTTCAGCCTCTTCGCTGCCAGCGGCTGAGAAGGAAGACAAAACGGAGAGACTGGGTCCTAAACGGGTTGGTGGTGGAGGTAGGGATGGGAGTGGGATGGTGGGGTGTTTTCAGAAGCCTTCGGAGCCTGGTCATGGGGTGGAAACCCTGGGCAAGTCTCTTGTAGGCAGTTAGCTCTTCTGACTCTTTCTACTACCTCTGCTTCTCTTCTCCCCACTTCCAGCAGGGAAGGTGAGAGCTGTTCCAAGGCCCAAGAGCTCAAAAATCTCCAGCACTAAGCTGGAACCAGGCAACCTGGACTTGAACTCTGGAGCTATTTCCCAGCTTCATGCAAATGCCTTACCTTCTTTGGCCTTAATCTCCCCTCTGATCCAAAAGGGAGATGGACCTGGTTACCCTTATAACTCACGCTGTCCCCAACTCATTTTCCAGGAAACACCAATCCAAGTATTTGGAAAGTTGTCTTCCTACTGCAATAGGGGGCTCTGGGGCAGAGTGTGGTCGGAGTACAGTGCCCTCAATGCCAGTGAGAACCTATTTGCCCACCCCCACCGAAGCCACTCACTGTCGTAGTCCAGCAGCAGCTCTGCAGCTGTGAGCAGCTTTGCCCGGTGCTGTGGGTCCATAATATTCAGCTCATTGAGGTGTGTTTCCCGCAGCTCTTTGAAGTCTTCCAGTGTCTGGTAGCCATTGAGCAGCAGAGTGGATGTGTGCTCCTGGGGGTAGAGGCAGGCCATCAACAGTCTCCTTCATAAGCCACCCCTGCCCGGAACTTTTCCCCTTACATATAGCAGATGGCCCCTCGGTCCCCATCCCAGTGGCAAGTGTGCCTCGTTTGCTCCCAGACACTAATGCAAGTCCAAAATCAAACCTTCAGGCCAATGCGCTCCAGCAGTTCATGCAGAGTCTTGGGCTTGGGCCTCTTGCCTTTGCTCTGTCGGCGGCTGGGGCGCACAGGTCCCACAGCCTCCTCTGGTAGCACATCCACATAGATGAATTTGAAAGAGCCCAGCTTGCCATTGAGCAGGCCCAGCCAAGTTCCCACAGGTGGCTTTTCAATGATCTGGATCACATCTCCTTTCTAAGGGATAGGTTGTGGGGATGGGGGAGTTAGAAAAAGAAGAGAGCAGGAAAGAAAATACTTGGCTTTCATATTTTGGTTCCTTTTTTTTTTTTTGCTTTCTATCCTATTTGTTTGTTTGTTTGTTTGTTTTGGTGTTTGGGTTTTTGAGACTCGGTTTCACTGTGTAGCCCTGGATGTCTTGGAATCGCTTTGTAAACAAGGCTGGCCTTGAACTCACAGAGATCTGCCTGCTTCTGCCTCCCTAGTGTCAAGATTAAAGGCTTGTGCTACCACTGCCTGTCTTTGTTCTCTTTCTTTATTGCTGAAGCCTGCCGGATCCTGGAGGGACCCAGGTGCCAACTTTACCTGCAGTTTCAGTGAGTCGTGGTCGTAAGGGCTGGGAGTGAAGTCAGTGTGGACTTGAGCACGCCCACAGAAAGGCCCTGTGTACTGGGGAGCAGGTGACTCTTCCATGAAGCTTCCAGAGCCTGGGCCAGGGCTACAGAGTTCACTGCCTGCAGAAGGACAGAGAGGAAGCATGTCTTTGTCCCCAGGCAGCTGGGTGCAGGCAGTGCCTAGCTGGGTCAAGACAGGGAACTACCAAAGAAACACACTAGGGACAGAAGCTGTACTCTAGCAGGAAATGCAGAAGTAGTTTGGATCAATACACCTAGCCATTCTGGGGAAGCATAGATTTTCACCTCCAGGGCTTTAGGCGATGAAGAGTTGATAGCTGGAGAGTTGGCTAACAGAGACTAAAGAATGGGCAAATCCAGAAAGCCTCTGGGGCTCAATAGGGCTGATTTCCACTGAACAGGTGAGGAAATCAAAGGGTAAGCAGCCCAAGTGACCTTCCCAAGGCCTCTCATTATACTTGGTGCCACTGGGTCCACTACACTCCGGGTCTCCTTACTCCCACTAAAGTGCTCATTTCACACAGGAAGACATAACTTGCAGGATTCTTTTACTTTCTCTAGTTTATTAGACTCAAAGTTTAGCAACAAGGCCTTATAAAAAATGCAGGCATGCTCTTCCTATCCAAAAAACGGCAGAGTGATGGACATTTTAAGTGGACCTCAGTGGGAGGCAGGGGGATGTGTCTGTAGAGCCAGAGAAAGAGTGACAAAAGTGGAATGAGCCTGAGAGACTTCTCCTTTAGGCAAGGCACCTCTTGTCTAGCCCGTGAACTTCTAGAAGATGTCTGGTGGTGCCATAAGCTCAATAAACAGAGGTCTTGGGTCCAAGAGGATGACTCTTAAGAACTGAAAACTCTGGACTCCAAGGTGGGATGTTTCAGGCACTCAAGGGGCTGTAGTATGTATGTCCCCTTGGACAGCTATGGACAGGCTGGTTCAAGAGGACAGTGAGGTTCTTTCTCTGTGTATGGGCCCTTTCCAGGCCTAAAATAGCAAGTGGAAGCTCCTTCCAATGAGGTCAGCATTGGGTCACTTAACTTTGCCAAGCCTCAGTTTCCACATCAGCAGCAGTGAGGTCCTTTCAGGGAGTGATGAAGATTTAATGTGAAGTGGGTTGAGAAGGTTCTAGCAAGTAGAAGAGAGATACTCATTTCTCTTTCAACCCTTTCCCAGAAAAGCCCCTGGCACTACCCCAGCCTAGTTCTTTCCTCCAGACTTGGCAGATGTCCACTCACTTTTCCTCCTCACCTGTTGACGTCTGGCGGCTGAGTGCTGGCACTTCCCGCTCCTCCTGCTCAGAAAAGGCCAGGGCCATCTTCTCAGGACCGGGGCTGTCTAGGCTGCAGTCTGGAGATGCTGGGGAAACAGAGCCCTCCTCCAGCATGTCTCCCTACAGGAAGAGTGTTGGAATCTCTGAGAAACCTTGCTGTGGTAACAAAGCCAGTCTCCAGTGCACTGGAACTGGCTCTGAGCTTGGTTCAGATCTCAGTTTTGTTACAGGCTCAGTGACCACATTCTGTACCTTAGTTTCTTTCCTCTTTTGGAAAAATGGGTTTAGCAGAACCAGTTTCCCTATGTCACAGAAAGAGGTCTCCAGTGTTCTGAGTGGATATACGTTGTCAGCTTCTAGTGCTGATGGACATAAACAAGAGGCCAGAGCAACTTGAGGTTGTTGCCACGACCTAATCAGGCAGATAATTGTGTCTGAGAGCAAATGTCCACATTCTCATGTGTCAAGGCTGACCTGCCATTTCATTTAATCCTCACTGTAGTACCTGAAGATAAGTGACATGGTTGGCCTGAGTTTTAAGACAGATAACTTAGCCAAGGTCTGTGGGCAACAACCAAGCTGCCTGGCCCCAGAGCTCCTTGCATCTCAGTTCAGTGCATCTGAGCATGTTGTTATTTCTCAGATGGTTCTCTTAGAATAAAAGACTGAGTTATTTGCCAATTTCTATGTTGTGAATGCTCCCCATCAACAGTCAACATCCGGTACCATTGCATGTACCTGGATGACTTGTCAGAAGAGGTATGTAGGTTATTTCCACTGTGTAGATACTATACACACCCACATAAGCAACGTGTTTAAGAATAGCATGTTGTGCCAGAATTATGAAACTATGAATTTTGAAGATTTTTGGCATCACCTTTGTCCTGGTTACTTTTGTGTCAACTTGACACAAGCTAGAGTCATCAGAGAGGAAAGAGCCTCAGTTGAGGAAATGCCTCCATGAGATCTAGCTGTAAGGATTAATTAGTGATTGATGTGGGAGGGCACAGCTCATTGTGGGTGAAGCCACCCTGGGCTGGTAGACCTGGGTTCTATAAGAAAGCAAGCTGAGCAACCTATGAGAAGCAAGCCAGTAAGCAGCACCCTTTCATGACCTCTGCATCAGCTTCTGCTTCCAGGTTCCTGCTCCATTTGAGTTCCTGTCCTCACCTTTAATAATGGAATATGTTGTGGAAGTGTAAGCCAAATAAACCCTTTCCTCCCTAAGTTGATTTGTTCATAGTGTTTCGTTACAGCCATGGTCAACCTTTGTTTTTAATAAGGCTATAGTTGATTTAAAGCTCTCTCTCTCTCTCTTTCTGTGTGTGTGTTTGATAATGTTGGTGATTAAATCCAGATCTTTGTACATGCTAGGAAAATACTTTACCACTGATTTTTGTCAGTCTATAGAAGTTGATTTCTAATAATAGTTGTATTTAACAACTGACTTGCAAGATTCATGACAAATGCCTTCACAAGCTAGTCGAGCTGGCTCCAGTATTCAAGACTGCTGTAAGAGCCACAAACACAATAGCCCACTGTGTGCTCTAAGCCCCTGCCCCCATAGATCTCTGAATCACCTTCCTCCCTGGGCTGAAGTTAGCAACCTCCATTTTCATTACAGTCTTTGAGTTAATGGTGGTTCAATCTATCTATTTATCTTACTTTTAAAGATTTATTTTATTTTTAAAATTATGTACGTGTGGGTAGGGTGATGTTGGGGGGTATATGCATATCAGTGCAAGTTCCTTTAGAGTCATGAAGAGGGCACTGAATACCTTGGAGCTGCAATTATGGGTGGTTTTAAGTCACCCAACGTGGTTGTTGAAAACCAATCTTATGCTCTCTGAAAGAGCAGCACATACTCCTAACTGCTGAGCCACCTTTTTAGCCTCACACTCTATTTGACTTTCTGATGGTTACCAAAGTGATATCATTCAGTGGGAGCCACACATTAAGTCTTGAATTTGGATCTTTGCCCAGGTTGGCACTATGTAGTGTGATCCTCTCTGGTGGGGCTGGGTAGCAGCAGGAAGTCATAGCTCTCCATCAATCACAAAGCCATGAGGGGAAGCAAGTGACACTTCTACACAGTGCTATGTTGTAAAGCTTAGTAGTGTCCAGGGGGTTAGGGAGTATGCATTATTGACTCATGGCATTCTGAACTTAAGGCTTATCAGGATGTAACCACATGGTAAACAGAAGAAAATCTGTATTTTCACTATATTTTCCTGGAATCAGGTCTTCTTAATTAATCCCAGAGGATTTTTCTAGTTAAAGCTTTGAGCTGGATACATATAGCTCAGGGGAACTTGAATTCCTTTCAGCTGCCCATCTTAACACGAAGCTTCTGATGCCCAGACTTTCATCTTTCTTCAAACTGAGTTCTTTCCTAGCCAGCCTCCTGCTTCCTCAGCCTTTCTTGGCCGTGCTGCCCCTGTGCCCTCCCATCACCTCCATGAGAACACCCTGTTTACATTGAACAGCATCTGCACATCTAAATACTGACTATCCAGGTGATCATATTCATTTCCCTGCCAGAATGGCCTCCTTAGCCCTCTTTGGCCTCAGCCCACCACCCTTGAATTCCAGGCCTCACCATCTCCTCTGACAAGGCCTTCACCATCATCTTGCCCATCTTCCTGTTCATGGTTCGGGAAATGACTGCCCTCCACTTCTTTCCCAACTTTTTGCTACTCTTCCCAGAATCCTCTGGGGTAAGAACACCGGAGTCATCTTCTGGAATCTGTGACAACAAGTAGAGATTCAGAGGGTATGGTAACACTGGCGTGGGTCCAGGTCTTGGTATACAAAGAAGTCTTCAGGATCCTGAAGTATGTGAATGTGGTGGGATGGAGAGTCACCCCATTCTCTTTTTCATCAGGTCTAATCCTGTTCTCAACCTTATTAGTCTGTGATTTAATTTGCTTTCTGCTATGTAATTAATATACATAGGATTTAGGCCCAGAAATTTGGTGCCTAGGAGAAGTGGACCTTCTGTGTTAAGGAAGCTTTGTCCCAGTAATACTAATTCCTCATGTTTCCACTCTACCCTGCCACCCCCTTCCCCCCACGCAACAGACTCCAAAGAATCTCTGAAACTCACATTATCATCCAGGTTAAATTCTTTCTCGCTCACCACAGGGGAGCTGGGCTTGGATTTGGCAAAATCCTTGAAGCTGCTGGAGCGCTGAAGTGAGAGCTGGAAGAAGCAGAAAGCTGTAATCAGTGGCGGTAAAATGACTGCCCAAGGGTGGATTTCTTTTCCCTTCTGGGCACATGCCCACATCAGGGCTGGGCAGAGCAACAGAAACACTGAGGTGAAGGGACAAGATGTATCATTTTTCATTCTATCCCTGGCCACAGAACAAATTACTTTTGGCCTCAAGTGCCTCATACCTCAATGAAGCTCCAGGCTAAACCCAGATTTCCATCACCGAAGTTTGGTCTCAGAACCCTGACATGAAAGATTCAATGTGTCAGAGTCAATGTACACTTTAGCATATATAAAAATGCCATAAGTGAACTGGGAGGTAATCCTTGCCAAAAGCATGATTCTGGCTTCCACACTCTGGCTGCACACTGAGCCAGGTTGCTAACACAATGACAGGGGCAAACATATCCAGGCCTCTAGCCTGACAAATTTGTGTCCCAGGAAGAGGAAGACAATCCCACCAGATGCCTGGCATGACACTTTCTATAAAAACCACAGTAGAGGCTTACTTATAGAAGGTGCCTATAGTTTTGGCTCATAAATGATTGGAACTAATTCAGTCAAGAAGACCATCATTTTCTCTTGATTCATCTTCGCTTTTAATCTGCCTCAGCCACCAATAAGAGAAGCTGGCAACTGCCGACTTTTGCAAGTGTTTGGACTTTCAGGTGTGACCTATTGTTTGTGTTGATGAGACTATCTTCAGGAAGCCATCTTTAACTGTATACATGTGTACATGCTGAGATATCAGCCAAAAACAGGACAGGACAGGTAATGGGTGTGACCAAAGACACAAAAAATTGATGCTAATGGGGTTTAAATGCCGATTTTCTGTCAAACTTTCAATTCTGGAAGAAAAAAAAGGGGGGGCGGGGTGTTGGAGATAGCCTTGGTGCTAAATGCAAATATAAAGCCTAAACCCAAAATATTTACATCAACAGAGAATGTTTCCTGGATTAACTAATAATATCTTCTTTTATTTTGCTTTAAAAATTCTGTCTATATGATTTCTATCTTTCATTTGAACGTATTTGTTACCAGAAAGACAATATAATTTTAACAATAACATCTGATAGTCTGTTTAACCTCATGTTTGTCAACAAAAACACCATTGGCTGCAACATATTGGTATTAAATTTCTTTTAATTAAAAAAAATTTTGATGCTAAGCCTGTGTCACGATAAGACCAGCAGACATGCACAAGAACCAGGGTTCACACATGGCCAGACAAATAGAGTAGAGATAGACTACAGACACTCAAGGTAAGTGCTTGAGGAACCAGAGTTCCAAACCGAGACTGAAGCTCAAGGTTTCACATCCTTCTTCCTGCTAAAAGGGGGCGTGTCCAGTGACAAAGGCCCCAGAGCAGGGGGTGGTATCACTTAACCCTCAATGAGTACAATTTGTTCTAACTTCTACAAGACTACAGTAGAGCTGTCTGGGATTCTTTCTGGGTCTTGACCAAAGCTGAATCAGCAACTGGGTTTCAGGGTCATGTATTCCTAGAGGTAGTTGACCAGAAACTAGGTCAGCAGCCAGGCCAAGCAGAAACTAGCTTCATCTGGGCCTTGTAGATGGGGTGCCTGGAGCCTCATTTGGTAAGCTTCCTTTGTGATAGAGACCTGGAAAGGGGACTGTGAGTGGGTAAAGAGAGAGGAATGTCAGACCATAGGGGAGGGATTTCCATGATTCCCATGCATCTCCTCTATGCCTCACTATTCTTTCCTTTTCTTCCTTTCTTTCTCTTCTCTCCTCTATCTTCCATTTATTTCCTTTTCTTGTATGGTAGGATGCAGCTGCCTGGATAACTTCCTCCTCTTATTGCATGGAAAAGAGGGAACAGAGAGAGGGTGGGCACCAGGCTGGCTTGGGCCCAAGGAGAGCAGGCTAGCTTACTATTTATAGGCTGGTGGGACCTATTGTAGCCTTCCCTCCATAAATGCTTAGCCTAGTCTCCAGACCAGAAGGCTGACAGTCCTGCTAAAGCCCCAGGGACTGGTAAGGCTGGAAAGCAAGCAGGAGGGCAGATGTGGGGTGGAAAGTAGGCTTTGTTAGGGAAGAGTAAGCTCATTGCAGGGGCTGTTCTCTAATCACAGCTCTTTTCCCAGGCCTTTTCCTGTTATTAATTAGCTGGCTGGGAGGCTGAGAGGAGAAAGGGGCCTTTGAGTCCCAGGCTCTTGTGAGGGCTCCTCTGGCTGAGCTTAAGCCCCAAAGCATGAGGAGACAACCCTAAAGGGCCATGGGGATAATTATGGGGTTTGGGCTTAGTCCAGATAAATAAATATGTCAGGCACATGTTCTTTAAGTGATCAATGGGTCAGCTAAGGTGGCTTTTTACCAGGCCTTCCTCCATCTTCGGGGGCAACCCCAAATATCCTAGCTAACTATTGCGTACCCTGGGATAACCCAGCCCACAGGTGAGTTGAAATCCATGAGCTAGGTTTTTGTTTTGTTTTGTTTGTTTCCCGTTGGGGTGAGGCCTGGCTGAGAGTTGTGCCAGCAAGTGAGGAAGTTCCATGTACTGGTGGCTTCTCTTTTGAGGCTATGGAGAGCATATGGGCCTCTTGGAAACAGCTACACTTTGGGCATTGGGCGTTGCTAAGTTCAACTCTGGTATGACTCTGCTATGTGTGGCCTCAGATGACTTATTTAACCTTTTAAACCTCAGTTTCTTCTTTTCTGCTACTGACCAGCTGTGGATGTTACTGTTTTCACTGTGCTGTCATTTCCTCATTAATGAAACGAAGACAAATCCTCTACTGTACTGAGATGTTGTCAAGTTGAACTGAGTACCCGTCCAATGATGGGAACATCACCTGGCATATCTGTCCCTCCTGAGACACTGGCTTATGTTTAACCTTTTGTATCTATAAATTCTTAACCTAGACACTTTCCCATCAAACACACCCTATCCTTCTAGCAATTGTCAGAGAGAAATCTCCTTTAGATTAATTTTACTTGGAGACAACACAAATACCCATCAACTGTAGACTGGATTAACTATATCAGAATCATGCAGGAGGACAGTAACCAACAACGCAACTATCTCAACAATATTCTTTATTCTAAAAATATGAATAAATCTCATCAACACATGGTTGATGAAAACTGGTCAGCTTTCTGGAAAAGTATGATAGTTAATTCTTCCTACACAAGGGTCAAAGCACAGAAAAACTCATTTATGCTGTTGGAAGTCAGGAAAGTGGTTACCCTTGGGGAGGAGATATGTGGTGACAGATAAGGCTGTTAGAGAAACTTGTACAATTTCAGAAATGGTTTATTTCTTGAGCCGAGTACTGCTTATAACTGCAGATCTCGACTTTATGGAAACTCACCATATGGATATCATACTCAGATAAAAAAAAAAGTGGTTCCTATTCCAGTTTTAAAGGCAGCACCCCTATAGAAATCCTCCTCCGATCACCCCTCATAGCTTTACACTGCTCCGGGTGGCTCAGCTTTCCTACATATCCCCCAATTTTCCCTCTAAGTCACTTCAGTAGCCCAGGTCCTAGCCTTTGTGAAACCTTCATAGAAAGGTTAACTATCACCCATATGCCCAATAGCCTGCCAGGTTCTTCATATGTGACAGCCTATTCCAGCATCACCAATTCCATATGACAATCTCACTTCTCAGTGGAGGAAATGGAGATGCAGGGAAATTAAGTGTTTTAGGCAGAGCCCAATGGCTGGTAGTGAAAACACAAGAGGAGGACACTCCTTAAACCCAGGTCTGGGACAATGAAAGGCCATGCTGGGCCTTGTGCCACCTCACAGCTTGCGCAGTCACTCCTACACCAAGATAGACCTTGCACAGTGCTGACTATGGTGCTGTGTGCCTGGAGCCAGCAGGAGAACAGGTAGGAGCAATTGTGAAGGAAGAACATTTGAATGGGCTCAGGCAGTGATGCAATATTCCTCCTTGGGGCTAGGAAGCATTAGAATGAGAATTAGAGCTAGAGGTAATCTGAGTATGGTTGGTATACCCATAGCTGTTCTAGGAGGCAAAGCAGAAAAAGCCACAGAAGGTCCTTACTAGCCATGCCAGGGGATATAGGCATTCTGTTGTGGACAATGGGGAGCCATGAGTTGATATTTATCCAAAACGCTTAGGACCAAAAGTGTTCCACAGTTCAGATTTAGTTTTTTGAGATAGTATTGTAAGTACCCCTGGCTGGCCTCTAATTTACTATGTAGCAGAGGATGACTCATATTTAAGATGTAGAAGATGATGCCTCTACCTTTTCAATCAGTATTCATTACAGATAAGTCTATGGCTGCCATACCCAGAGGTTTATGAATACTAGATAAGCATGCTACTAGCTGAACTATATCATTAGTCCATCCAATTAAAATATTTAATGTTTGCGTATATATATATATATATATATATATATATATATATATATATATATATGTTTTGGAAAAGAGATATCTAAACATGAATTTTGGGTATATTTCATATAGTCTTCATATACATAGCTTAAAGGTAAATTTTATATAACATTTATAGTGTGCCTGTGGTTTGACGGTGGCCTGTCACATGAAGTCAGGTATGAAATTTTCTACTTGTGACATCCTGTTGGTTTTCAAAAGCCTTCAGATTTTGGAGCTTTTCAGATTTTCATAATAAGGTCTTTACATGCTTTGTAGCATGTATTATTGGGGTTTTATTCTAGAAGAGTGACACGAGGGCCCCATGGGAAGCAATGAGCTAGCACTGGGGAAGAGAGAAGGAGGCTGGAAGGAAGCACTTGAGCATGATCCTAGGTTTCTCTTTATTTCCCCTGGAGAGGGTAGAGAAGGGCTGTCTTTAGGGGAGACAAATCTAGAACAAATTCCTTTCCATATCTTAGACCCTGACACTGGCATATGATAGAAGTGAGAGCAAAAGGAATATAGTTCAAACTTGAAGATGATTCAAGCGTCCACAGAGCTACTGAGGGACAAACCTTCCCACTCAGGAGCATTCTCCCTCATTGTGAACCACAACAGGTATCATGTTCTGAACAGGTCTACTCCCTCCTCAGTTCTATTGGCTTGTCTCTCAGTCCACAGGTATCTGGGTATTCCTCACACAGTTCTTCTACTGGTGGACTAAATTTTGTGATTGTTACTCACTCCTGAAGCTTCTGAGATCAGTAAGGGGACAAAAGAGTGCAGAGAGAAGGAGGTAAGATTTTGAAATTAATGAAATCCAGGACCTTGGCTTGGATCCCTGCAACTCACTAGCCTGTGATAGCTCCAGCAAATTTCATCAGTCTGAGTCTTGGGTGTGAGATCAGTATAAAATCCACACTGGTCCCTGTTCTATGTGGTTGCAGTGAAAAGTCAGCAAGCTAAGCTGTGACTAAAGGGCAGCACATGGCCTGTGATAAGCCTTCCCTCAGTAACAGCTCTCCATGCTCTTAGGTCTTGCTTCCTGTACTTCACAGCTTGGACCATGGTTTGTTCTTTGCAATGTTCTTTCCATCTTGACTCACGAAAAAGCAAACACCTCCTTGGAGTCAGGAGCACACACGTGATAGAGTGCTCTCATAACTATTATTCCAGTGCTCCCTACCTCCAGAAACCACCTTTTCTTTCATAGGTGAAGAAACTGATGATCACAGAAATTCAATAAATTGTCCAGGTATGGCAGAAAGGCAGGATTCCACCTCCCCTTTCTTATCTCTCTCCTTAGCACATTCTCATTGCCTGAAGGAGGATATGAGGGAGGAACAGGAGGGAAGCACTTCCTTTGTATTTGTACATTCCCTTCCACCACATCACCTCAGTTTCCAAAGGGAAGACACTTGAATTCAGTCATCTGGCAATCAAAATGTAACTGTCTGTGGGCCTTGGGAAGATGCCATGTCTTCTGAAAGTCTGGTTGTGCTAAGGGAATTTTTAGAGTATGGAGCTTGGGTATGTAGAGGCAAGCTCCTCTTGCTTCCTGGAGGCTGACATAGGCTCTGGCAGGGGTAAGGTGCAATTTGCATGAACTACTCTTCCCTAAAGGATATGGACCACAGACTTTTCTAGAAGAAACCTGGAGGAATTCCCAGAGGCCCATCTGCAAAGTGCAGGATCTGTGTAATTGGAGCCAAGAGAGTGGAAAGGGATTTCTTGTTCTGTGAGCCTTGGGGCATCTCTGCCTGAGGTAGCATAGGATCCCAGTGTCACAGTGTCAGCTCTTTCTCAGACTCTTTCCTCCAGCTTGATTCTTCTGCGGTTTGGGGCCCACCAAGGTCTATATAGCAGTCTCTGTTTCTCTCATGAGCTAAAGAGCAAGGGGAAGTGGCTTGTCTCTGAGAAGTGGCAGCCAATGGCAAGCCTTTGGGGCCTAGTTTAGGTGGGGTTGGGGGGGATGACAGGGTACTGTGTGAATATTCACAAATCTCTCTCTCTTTCACCTACTACCACTGAAACCCTAGAGAAGCAGCTGAGGTGGGGAGAGTACAGCGGAAAGTGGCAGCTACCCAGATCCTGAGAGATGGGACAGGATGTACACCTCGGTGCTCTGAGCCTGTTTTTCAGCTGTCACCACTGCCTGGGAACTATTCTCCTGACAAGGAGGGAATCCCCCATAGTGTACCTGAGTTGAATTTCAGGGAAACAGTGTGAGTCCTGGAAACCTGTGCCTACCATTTGGAGGTTTGGATCTAGTTAGGCTTGCTTTGGAACATTCCCATGGTCCCACTAGACATGCAGGCTGGACAGACCAATTGCCTGGGAGAATTCTGCTGTAAAATAAACTCTCTATATACAAACCAGAGAAAACTGGGTATAACAGAGTCTTCAAGAATCATTCAGTTTAGCTGCTGTCTCGGAAGATGAACATCTCAGCCAACTATGATGGCTACTTTTCTTCCTGGCCTTTGAAATCTCCCTCCCTCCCCTCCCTTTTCATGATATTTTCCTTCTCAGCTCTCACACCTACTCACCATGTCATCAGCTTCATTTCTCATTTTTTCGTAAGTTCTCCCTGCCCAGAATGAACCCAACTAACACCCCCGAATTTCACTGCACTTTGGTGGGCCCTTTTCCTGAGTTCAAAAAGCACCTAGTAATTCATCTCTAGTGGCCCAGGAGGAGGGGGCTGCTGTAGTGGATCCAAGTGCAGGGGCATGACTCCTACCAAAGAGTAGGAAGGTCTGCGGCCACCTTGGCCGGGTAAACTAGTGGACCCCTTTGAATGAGATAGTTCTCAAGAGGACATAGCTGAGCAGAAGTAATACAGAACAAGTCTAGGGAGGGACAGAATCAAGTACACTCTTTGGATTCAACATGAACACTGTATTTTGTAATTCTCAAACTGAAGTCTATGGTTCTAGACCTTAAGTTCTTTAATCTCATCTTTGTAGGGTTGATTCTATAACTCTAGACATCTAAAGCTCCAACTCATACCTCCATACTCCAGAGTTTAAAAAGTGTCTTCCGTACTTGTACTACTCTAGCGACCATTGAGAACCATCCCTTTGCTTTCTGGAAGAACCCTCACCTACAAGCTCAACATACGGCCTTGGTTCAACTTCCCCCTTCTAAGAGTCCGGGGGGAGGGAATTGGTGGAGAGTGTGGAGGAGGGTAGGAAGAAATGAGCGCTCAAAGATGTTCCTCACCTTTTTCTTCTGAGTGGGCTCCTTGTCACTGGCATTGGAGGGTTTACGACGCAACATGGTCCTCTGCTGTGATGACACTCCTGCTCCGTTCTCCAAGGTATTAAAATGCCAACGTCTCTTTATAAGCTTCCCCAGCACCAGCAAAGTGGCACAGCATAGACTGAGCCTCCAGCTGCTACTCTTACTGCTACAGTGGCAGCTTGGTGGTGCAGGCCATGGACACCCAGCAGCAGCAGCAGCAGCAGCAGCAGCAGCAGCAGCAGCAGCATACAGGAAACCTTGCCACGTGACCTACTCTTACAGCAATCATGGCCCCTGCTGGCCTCTAGGAAGGAAGTAAGTCCCTGCTTCAGTCTCCAGAGATTCTGATGCAGACAGATATTGAGCTGAACAATCAGATAAAAGCCTCAATCCTGTTGTTTCATGCCATTCACCAGCAGTTCTTTCAGTCAGTGGCTTATTCAGGCTCTATATTCACTGATTAAATTTCAGAAATCAAAAGGTGAACAGTCTCTTTGCCTGTTGAGCAAATGTCCCCAGTCAATTTGCATCACCAAAGTCATTACTGCCACCACAATTACCATTAGTGTCACCCCTTTGGCCATCATCTTGATGGCCATCACTACTGCTACCATTACCAGATAGGCACTACTCCTACTACATGACCCCTACAACCATCAACCCTCCTACCATTCCACTGCTGTCAGCACACCTTAGGCATGATCAGTAAGCTCTCATTTTTTTTCAGATAATTCTACTGCTTCATCCTCTTTATAGCTGTCATCCTTACAGACATCTCCATGATGTTCTCAGCCCTATAACCTTCAATAACCCTGTGTCCACCACTCCTACAGCTACCATTCAAGCAACTATCTACATTTCCATCAGCATATATATGTCTGTCATTCTAGATGAGATGTGCTACACTTAACACCCCTCAGCTCACACAAGAACAACTGAGAAACATTTGCAGGCAATGCCATGTCAACAACGGGTATCCCATTTAAAAGGCTTTTTCAAATACCTATGCACCACAACTATCTTGTGGATTATGTTCAGCAGATGATGATGATAATGACAATGGCAATGATGATTTGTAGTGCTCATGGGTCTAGCCCATGGCTTACACATGCCAGGTAAGTTTGCTACCATTGAGCATTTGTGGCCAACACTTAAATACTTTCAATGACTCCAGTTTACTACAAAGCAACTGGTATGCATCATATATACCTTATCAAATACAGACGAAGAATAAAAAGAAACTTCAAAAAAGGTCTCCATAAGTGGTTTCAGACTGTTTGGATAAATATCCTTAACTGTTTTCAGCATCTAGCACATCTGTCTGAACATGTTTACTTCTTACAAAAATCATGCTGAACAAGAGGGAGATCATTGGTTTAGAGAGATTTAGAGAGACTGGAGGGATAGATAACTAAGGACATAGAGATGTTTTTGGAGATGATGAATATGTTTGCTTATTTTGAGTGTGGTGATAGTTTTATGAATGTATACCTCAATAAAGTTATCTTTCATTTTTTAATTTAATTTTTTATATTTTATTTATTCCTTTTATATCCCGATCATAGGTCTTCCCACTTCTCCTCTGCTCTCATCCACCCTCCCTCCCTCCCTCTTCTCCCTATTCCTTCTTCCCTACCCCTCAGAAAAGGGGAACCCCACTACTAACCCACCCCAGCACATCAAATCTCATCAGGACTGAGCGCATCATCTCCCACAGGCCTGGCAAAGCAGTCTTGCCAGGAGGAAGTTACCAAAAAGCAGACAATAAAGTCCATGTCAGAGACGGCCTCCTGCTTCCCTTAATAGGGGACCTAGATAATAGCCAAGCTGCCCATCAGCTACATATGTGTAGGGGACCTAGGTCCAGTCTATACAGGGTCCTTGGTTGATGCAACAGTCTCCATGAGCACCTCTGACCCCTGGTTAGTTGGCTCTGTTGGTCTTCTTGTGGAACTCCTGTCCCCTCTGGGTCCTTTTATCCTTCCTCTAACTCTTCCACAATGCTCTCTGCCCAATGTTTGGCTGTGAGTCTCAACATCTGTTTTGATCTGCTATTGGGTGGAATGTCTCAGAGGACAGATATCTTCAATTTTTTAATGAAAAAAGTTTCATAGACTGTTGGTATTTGCTTTTCATGTTAAATATGAAACATTTTCTGATGTTCAGGGTTTTGCTATATATTCTAGGCTGGCTTGGAACTTGTGGTCCTCCTGCCACAGCCTCCTGAGTGCTGGGATTATAGATGTGCACCATGCCTGGCTGATATATTCTGGAACTATGTGATTTTATGTGTACAGGTGTGTGTGTGTGTGTGTGTGTATGTGTGTGTGTGTGTGTGTGTGTGTGTGTGTGTGTACGCACGCACTCAGGATACTTACTTGTACACTCTCATGTGGAGGCTAGAAGTCAGTGCTCTCTACCTTATTTTTTGAGAAAGGGTCTCTCACTGAACCTGGAGCTCACAATTTTCAGCTATACTAGCAAGCTTCTAGGAGCCATAGGTCTCTGCCTTCCCCATCCGGTGCTGGAGTTATAGATGTGCATCACTTCACCCAGTATAGGTGTTAGGGATCTAAACTCAGGTATTTGTGCTTATACAATAAGCACACTTCTCAAAGAGCTGTTTCCTTCTCCTGAATCACACAACTTTTTAAATGGATGATAAGCAATCAGTCGAATGAACACACAACAATTATCTTGCCTTGGTTGATTTTTAGAAAATACAGAAAAACTTATTGAATGTCCTTATGGTAAATACTCAGTCACATCTATGAGTTTATTATTAGGTTAAATGTTCAGAAAGTTTGGAATTCCTGGGTAAGAGATGTGCGCTATTTTTTTTCTTAATTCAAAGACAGCTTTTTACTTCTTTAATTTCTCTTTTTATTAATTATTTTTATTAATTACGATTTATTCACTTTGCATCCCAGATGTGGCCCCCTGCCTCATCCTCTCCCAATCACACCCTTTCTCCCTCTTGTCCTCTCATGCCCCTCCCCCACTGCAATGATAGGGGTAGTCCTCCTACCCTTCCACCTGACCCTAGCCTATCAGGTCTCATCAGGACTGGCTGCATTGTCCTACTCTGTGGCCTAGTAAGGCTGCTCACTACTCTGGGGGAGGTGATCAAAGAGCCAGCCTCTGAGTTCATATCAGAGACAGTCCCTGTTCCCTTTACTAGGACACTGAGCTGCCATGGGTTTCATCAGTGCAGGGGATCTAGGCTATCTCCATGCATGGTCCTTCGTTGGAGTATCAGTCTCAGAAAAGACCCCCGGGGCCCAAATTATTGGTTCTGTTGATCTCCTTGTGGAGCTCTTGTCCCCTCCAGGTCTTTTATCTCCCCCTTCTTTCATAAGATTCCCTGCACTCTGCCCAAAGCTTGGCTATGAGTCTTAGCATCTGCTTTAATACCCTGCTGGGTAGAGTCTTTCAGAGGCTCTCTGTGGTAGGCTCCTGACTTGTTGCCTGTTTTCTCCCTCTTACGATGTCCATCCCATTTGCCTTTCTGAGTGAGGCTTGATAATCTTACCCAGGGTCCTCCTTCTTGCTTAGCTTTTTTAGGTGTAGAGATTTTAGTATGTTTATCCTATATTATATGTCTAATATCCACTTATAAGTGAGTATATACGCTCCTGGGAAATTTCACTGGGGATGATCTTTTCTAGATCCTACTATTTGCCTGCAAATTTCATGATTTCCTTGTTTTTAATTGCTGAGTAGTATTCCATTGTGTAAATGTACAACAATTTCTGTATCCATTCTTTAGTTGAGGGACACTTGGGTTGTTTCCAAGTTCTGGCTCTTATGAATAGAGCTGCTAAGAACATGATTGAGCAAATGTCCTTGCTGTATAGTTGAGTATATTTTGGATATATGCTTAGGAGTGGTATAGCTGGATCTTGAGGTAGCACAGTTCCTAATAGTCTGAGAAAGTATTGATTTCCAAAGTGGTTATAAAAATTTACATTCACATCATCAATGGAAGAGGATTCCCCTTTCTACATATCCTCTCCATCATGTGTTGTCACTTGAGTTTTTGATCTTAGCCATTCTAATGGGTGTAAGGTGAAATCTCAAGGTCATATTGATTTGCATTTCCTTGATGACTAGGGACATTGAGCATTTCTTTGTTTCTCTGCCATTTGATATTCCTCTATAGAGAATTATTTGTTTAGCTCTGTACCCCATTTTTTTAAATTGCATTATTTGATTTGTTGCTTTTTAACTTCTTGAGTTCTTTATATAATCTGGACATTAGTCCTCTGTCAGATATAGGATTGGTGAAGATCCTTTCCCAGTCTAGAGGCTGTTGTTTTGTTCTGATGGCAGTGCCCATTGCTTTACAGAAGCTTTTTAGTTTCATGAGGTCCCATTTGTTGATTGTTGATCTTAGAGCCTGTGCTGTTGGTGTTCTGTTCAGGAAGTTGTCTCTTGTGCCAATGAGTTCAAGGCTCTTCCCCACTTTTTCTTCTAAAAGATTTAGTGTGTATTTTTTTATGTTGAGTTCTTTGATCCACTTGGACTTTAGTTTTGTGTAGGGTGATAAATATGGATCTATTTGCATTTTTCTTCATTTAGACATCCACTTAGATGAGCCCTAATTGTTGAAGATTCTGTCTTTTTTCTATTGTATGGTTTTGGCTTCTTTCTCAAAAATTAAGTATCTGTAGGTGTGGGTGTTTATTTCAGCATCTTCTATTCAATTCCATTGATCTACCATTCTGTTTCAATGCCAATACCATATAGATTTTATTATTATTGCTCTGTAGTGCACCTTGAGATCAGGGATGTTGATACTCCCAGAAGATCTCTTGTTGTACAGGATTGTTTTAATAATTCTGGGTTTTTTGTTTTTCCATCTGAAATTGAGAATTGTTCTTTCAAGTTCTTTAAAGAATTATGTTGGTATTTGATGGGAATTGCATTGAATCTGTAGATTGCTTTTGGCAGGATGGCCATTTTCACTATTCTAATCCTACTGATCCATGAACATGGGAGATCTTTCGATCTTCTGATATCTTCTTCAATTTCTTTCTTTAGAGAATTGAAGGTTTTTTTTTTTTTTCCAAGCAGGCTTTCACTTGCTCAGTTAGAGTCACACCAAGGTACCTTATGTTAGTAAGTGGCTATTGTGAAGGGTGTAGTTTCCCTAATCTCTTTCTCTGCTCTT